CTTCCAGGTGAAAGTCCTGCCAGGGGCAAATAAGAACTTGGTTTGTGTCTTCGAGGGTGAAGACAATTTAAAGAGAGAGGAATGTAATGGTTTGGTGATATTGGCCTGGGTAGCTCAGTCGGTAGAGCACCTGACTAGTGATGCAGGGGTCCCGGGTTTGATTCCCGGTCCAGCCATACATTTTCTCCTTTCCTGTTACACTTTAATTAAAATATCTTCTTAAAGAGTACCTTGATAATTATGACTGCCAGGTAAATTGGTTAAGCTGTAGCTGCTTGACCTTTTGAGTATAAAATTAGTACTGTTACAGGAACAATGCATTATATGTACAGAGGCATATATATTGCCTAAAACACTTAATATTGGACTTTTGCGAGAAGCGCTGACTTTTACAATCAACGACTTACTTTTACATTGCGACAATATACGGAAGCTCTTTTGCGATATAAATATTTTGCTTAACAGTTAATTAAACGATAATAATTGGGCATTTCAAAGCACATATTACGTTGTCTAGGGAGGGGAAGGAGAAACACCCTCTACCAACCCCCTCCCTTCCCATTTGACCAACTACTCCCAAGTTTTCATTCCGGATCGTTTTTTCTTCCTTATTTGATTCCTTCATAAAATAAGATTGAAAGGAAATACATGTACTATCCCTCACGAATAAGGTATTTTAAGTTGTGTTATTCTACCTGTCATCATCTCTTGTGTTGATTGCATACAAGTAAATCATGTAAGTGTCCCTAACACCATACCTATGACCACTAGTAAGGTTTTCTAATCTAATACCAAGTCCGTACCTCCGTACATGACACATATTTAAGTGTCAAAGTAAGCCGTCGAGTGTAAAAGTCAGTGCTTCTCGCAAAAGTCCATTATTCAGTTATTGTTATTTTTGAGGTCAATATGATGATTTAGCAACCCAAGGAGTACTAAATTTATTGAGCCCAAAGGGCAAGGTGAATATTGCATCAATTGCTTTATTATATGATTCAATGATGACTGTCTTCCTTGGAAGACGGTATACAGAGTTGAAGTATTTTACAGTCTTTGGATTTTGCACTTCCTCTCTTTTGTGATTGGTAGAAATTACATGATGTGAAAATTTCCAATTATTTCATTGGTTAAAATGCTGTTCAAGGCAAGGGGGATAATTTTCTGGTGATCTAATTTTCGCACGACTTTACAATTTTTCAAGATTTTCAATCTTTACAAAAATTGACTAACGAACAGTTGAAAATGGCAATCAATCAATCTAAATAACACTTTAATTTTTATAGCAATAACTAAAAGCCGTTTCTTTATTTTCATTGTAAACAGAAATATTGAACTTCTTTATTGTCAGCTTTTCAGCTAGTATTTTTCGTTTTCTTTTGTTTTGCACTTGTCATTCCATTCTCTATCCAAGTTGTCGTTCCCGCTTGTCATTCTAATCCCTTTGCTTTCTCCGTAAACTCCAACAAGCTGCAGAGTTGGATTTACGGGGAAAGCTGAGTATGGTTGAACTTTCACATGGTAGGGCTAATGTCAGTAAAAAGTTGACGTAGAAAATTTAATGCTCAAGAATTATATGGCCTGATAGGTGTATGCCAGTTTAATGTTTAAGGTTGATGCTAAAAAAGAGTTTTTGAAAAAAGCTCTACTTGTTAAGTGATACAAACTCGAGTACCCTCTATACACTGCACACTAAAGAGTTCTAATTCGGAATCCATGGTATTTTTATGCGGTTAAAGTAATCTGCCCTTAGATCTGAAATGAAATAAATTGAAATCTAAAGTTTATTACTTTATTTGAAATCAATTCAAGCATTCTAAATTTTTCATTCGGCCTAGATGAATTAATTTAACTCTGTTTGCATGTACTTTTCATTCTCATTTAAGTGAGCAACAGTTATTTCAGTTCAACAACATTTTTAGAAGATTTATCCTGGGAGTAAATGGCAGGTACCCTATGCTGAAAATTAAATAGATATAAACTTCATATTTACATCTTTATATGATATAATTTCCTCAGAGTCCAAAAAACATTTTTCATTAGTGCATGTAAGGTCCTTAAGCAAACCTCACCATTTTCTTGGACTTGATTGTTTAAATACAACTGTTAAAATCATACCTGAACCCATTGTTTTCTGGGTTTTTTTGGTCCGATGTAAGAAAATTAAATGTTATATTATTCACCAGGAAAGTTGGGTACAGATGGCATTATCTTTGTAATTTCTAGAATGTTGGATTTTAGCCAATCAGAGAACTAGGAATCAATTTGTAATATAAATATCATGCACTATTGTAATTGTTTCATAGAATATTCTGTCTTTTGGTACAAAGTAAGAAAAGGCACGGCTGATGTTTTAATTACACGTTTTCTCCATTTTTGGCAGTGATGCTGATCTGTCACATTTAAATTCAATTTTTCTTCTTTTTTTTTCATTAGCCCACTGAAAAAAAAAATGAATTTGGCACTGTTGAACCAGCATTGAATTGTTTCTGGTTTTGTCATATGAGTATCATGTATATGTTTTCCCCATCAGGGATGGAATGCACTGACTGAGCCTGGCTCCCATTCAGAACAGCTGCTCACACTGTCTCTGTTACATGTTTGTATTCATTCTCTATTTGTATTGGGGGTCTTCAGATTACAGGTCCTACACGATGTTTATACAAGGTGTGTGCAGCAGGCAAAGAATAGTAAAGCATTCCATCATTTCAGTTTAAACCCGTAAAAAAGCTACCTTGGTAGGTTTTAGTCAACCAGAGAGTGTTACTGTTATCAATATTGATAAGTGAACAAGTTTGTGATAATGTTTGTATATTTAATAAAAAAAATTAACTAATTCATCTGTAAGGCATTGATGTGTTGACATGTCTTAATTAATGCACTTAAGATGGTTTTATGTCTTGGAGACTTTTTTTGATGGTAATTGTTTGAGCAGAATAGCCTGGGGATCTGAAGCCCAGGGTTGGACTTTTCCCACCTGTAAAATGTGATGTGAACTCTATCACTATGTCATTATCAAGATCTCACCAGCATGTGATCTGGACTTCTATCTTGTCATTGGTGGCTACACAATATTTCACTCTTAAATTTATATTCACAGAGGTAGGAACTTTTCATTTCTCATTAAAATCTTCATGGAATGGCATTTTGTAGAATTTTCAGTTCTGACATTTGTGTTGTTGAACAAAATTTGAATATGATAGAAACATAAGAAGTTTTCTTAAGACCACAACCAAAAGGCAATTCTGTGATTATAAAGTATGTAAAGATTCCACCAGTCCGTCTGAGATTGTGGCACTTTCCATACAGTTAGTATTGATTGTAATACACAGTAGGCTTTAGAGCCTGGCTGTTCACTCCAGGAATACTAAGCTAGGGAGACAGTGAACTATTAAGTTTGTCCTTGCTAGTGTTGTTATTGCGTGGTGTTCCTCGACAGGCTGGGACAGAAGTTTGTGGATGTTAGATGCTGTTGACTTGCCTCTTGTGTCTAACGGGGGTCAGTGTTCCACAACACTGCCACAGATCCCATTGTAGGCAAGCCGTGAGTTATGTAAACAAGCTATTCTACTGACAATTTACCTGCTCAAATCGACAGTATGTACACACACATGGTACAGGCCTCTGACAAATGATTGTTCAGTGTGAAAATTTGTACAGGGAGAAATTGAATTTTGTGTAGAAGGATCTGAGTCATGTGTTTCTGACTGTGACTAGTGTCTTAAGTACTCTAGTACTTGTGTGTTGTCATGACTTCTTTGTGAGGAGGCAGTATTCAGGTGTGGATATATAAAATGTAGGTACACTAGACAGATATTTAAATATATTTATATACATGAGCAGAAGGCAAATCTGCTGTTTTCAGTTCACCTCTGGACATGGTTTGACATTGTGGTTTATTTTTGTTATTGATTAACTTTGTGAGGCTCCATTTAAACTGGAATGTATATGTGTGCTGTAATTAGAGACATGTTTGTATAAATTTGTCATTCTGAAATGAAGATCTATTTGGTGTTCCAAAATGGCTGCTACATGTTAAATTGTGTAACACGCCCTATTTGCACATGGTTTTAATATGGTGAAAATAACAGTATTGATATTTACCTGGATGGAATAATAAAGATGTATTGGGAGGTATATTGATTGGTTCAGATATATAGTTAACAAAAAGAAGATCTTTCTGATGGCAGTATTCTGTGTAATTTCAGTAATTCTGATATTGAGGGATTATACTGCTGTGTAGGTTTTTATCTAAGGGTTGTAACTTCAGAATGTTTTAAAGATTGATCAACAAAATCCATATGGGAAACCCACACATTTGATTATTTTGGTAGCATGCCTAATTGTAGGCCATTACAGCAAGGAATTCATTTTACCTCGGGCAATATGACAGCCTGTCAAAATGTTCAGTTCATTCTGTATACTAATGTGTCCTGTTGCTTATTGGTGTTTCACACCAGATCAGAGGAGTAATTTTAATACACTTATTATTGAAGAGGCAATTAAATGAATTCCTATTTTGTAGCTATTATAGATACAGGAATTTTTAAATCATGAAACTTTTAATTAATATTAAAACATTACATTTTGTTTAATAAATGCCCTCTGTTATACCAGTAGATTGAAAATTGTAGAGCAAGAATAATACAGTATAACTTGTCTGATCTGGACACCACTGGTTCCAAAAAATTGACTGGATTAAACAACATTCTGTATTAAAGTTTACATTGTTAGGCAAGATTTCAGAATACATAACATCTAGATTAGACAAGTTTCACTGTATAATGTTTGGGAATGTTTTATAGGCATGGCTATTGATTCACTGTTAATACCATAGATCAAGTTTAAATCTGCAATTTGTATTTCCATGCATATGTTAATTTGTATGGAAATATGAAAAAAAAAAAATTCTGCTGTAATGATGTTCAAAAGTCATTCGCCAGTTTTTAATAATAAGCATTATATACAGGTAATGTTTAAATATCAGAACTGTGTCTTTTCAGATGATTTAGATGACAAAAGCAAGAGAAGACCAGATTATAGTGACACAGACGAAAATGGAAATCCTCGTTTAGAGTGTGCACAACTTCTTAATCCTAAAGCCTACAGGCCGATGAGAGAAAGTCCGAATTCTTCTGGCTCCTCAGTGTACTCCAAACCCACCAGCTATGATTCAATTCCAGCGTTTTATTCTAACAGGAGAGAGTTAGAAGATTCGTCGTCCACTTCTAATCAGGAGGCAACAAAGAAACGCAAAAAACCAAAGAAAGACAAAACAGTAGAAACGGTCCGAAAATCAGAGGAAATTGAAAACTATCAAGGATCGAAAGAAATTGACGAAATATTGTCATTTATTGAAAACGATGGCACTGGGCGAAAACCCAAAAAGGTGTCCAATAACACTACAGTGGACGTTAACCCTGTCAAATCTACAGACAAAAATAACAAGAAGAACAAAGAGAGAAAACCTAAGGTAACACCAGGAGACATCAAATCTACAGAAAAAAAGGAAAATAACCCAGAGAATAGTGTAAAAGAAGGCTCCGAGGAGAATAGGGAAGATTCCGAAACCTGTAGGATAGAAATGGGAAATTCTAATGAAAGATTCGGCTCACCAGAAATAAAGACTGAAGACTGTCAAAGGGATATCAAGGAGCGGAATCACATCATTGGTGAAAATTGTGTTCTGAAAGACAGTAAATTGAAAGGTGAGATGATGAATGGTGACATTACGTCTCCTGAGGAAGAGGCTGAGGGGATTTCCAACAAGAAATTGAAAAGCTTAGACCTTAAGGCAGGGGAGGTGTTAATCAATGATAAAGAGGAAAGTGACAGTGCTGAAATAATAATTGATACCTCCAGTAAAGTGACCAAGGACCTCCAGATTGACACAAATCTGAACAATATGAAACAAAACAATATGAAAAACTCCAAAAAGAAACATAACATAGTGTCAGATAATAATAAAAAAGACACTGTTAAAAGCTCTGGTGAAAAAGAGCCAGAGGAAAAGATGGTGGAACAGAAAAGTGAACCCAAAAGCAGTGTGGTGGGAGACACTGAGGATATAGATAAAGAAAGTGATTACTATATATTCACAGACCTTGACCTTCCTAAACCAGTGGAAGAGGAATTCCAAGTAGTTGGTAAAAAGAAGAAAAAGGGTGTCCCTGTCTCTGTCAAAGAAATTGTGAGCAAGGATGCTAATACCACCCAGCGTGTTCCCTTGAGGGAGGAGAGACGAAGACCCCAGAGGTCCATTACCCCACCTCCAACCTCCCTCGTCAACTCCCTAGCCATGGAGGATGAGAGAAACAGAATGAGGGACCTCAGTCCTTCATCATTTCCTGCTCTTGGTGCTGGCAGACAGGGGAGGCAGTCTTTCAGAGATGGTCGTCGCAGTTCAACTGGAGATGTACCAAAGGAAATTCTTATTAAACCTCAAGATGACAGTGATTTGGAGTCTGTAAAATCACTCCCTGCATCAGCACAGGCCGTGTCTCCTAGACTTCAAATTTCTTATGCAAAGATGGCCGCTTCTCCTAAGCCAAACAGTTCGGTGTCCACTTGTCCTGATGAGGATACTGAGGATCCAAGTAATGTTTCTGTTGACTTAAAATCGGCAGTTTGGAAGGGAAGTCTTACAGAGAGGAGGCATTCAATAGGCTCTAGTCCAGAGGGTAAAGAAAATGAAGCCTCTTCCATTCGTCAAAAATTCGGAAGTCAGGAATTGGTCAAACCAGAAAAGGAAGAAGGTCTGTTTAGTTCACCTGAGAAATCACCTTCAGTAGTGGAGAGTGTAAAGTCAAACTCTTCTCAGAATTTCTCTGTGGATAATAGTGCTGCCATTGACAGTGTATCTATTACTGAAGCTGTGTCGAACACTAGTGTGACTAAAGCTAGTGATAGTGAATTCAATGAACCTCTGGAGAGTTATTCTATAAAAAACACTATCCAAGTGACTGCAAAGAATCAAGGTGCAAACAATCAGATAGTCTCTAAAATTAAGGTATCAAAATCTAGTTGTGAAGCCTCTAAAACAAGCAAATCACAAGTCTCTTCTAAAAAAGTTAGTGCAAAGAAGCAAGCAAAATCGGTCATTTTCTTGGACAGAGGTGAGAAAGACCATGAAAACTTGGATATTGTGTTTGGATTTGATCCTCAACTGGAGGTCGAGGAACCAATGGTGTCTGTATCAAATTCTGTTTCAAGCAGTAGTTTACAGCCCCCTGCAGTGTTAGCCCAAACTAAGTCTAGTGAAAATCTTAGTGTTGACTCAAACAGTTCAAAAGGATTGCCCCGTGTTCCTGTGATACACTCCAGAAGTGTCACAAACAATTCTAGTTACACAAATACCAAGGACTACAAACACTCTGTAAGAAATTCCAAATCAGCAACTTTTCCTTTAGAAGGGAAAAATGGAGTGAAATCAATTAGCACCTTAATTCTTTCTCCTGATTCCAAGAACCCTTCTGCTCAGCAGTTCTCGTTTATCAGTGAGGACACATGTGCCCCCACTGTAAGCGATACCCCTGTGATCTCCAATGAGGCCCCCAGTGATGAGGGATGTGTGACAGTGGTATATGGGGAGGAGTGTAGTGCTGTGTTGGGGGCAGAGTCCAGACATCCCCCAAAACAAATCAGATATCAGAAAGAGACGGGGGATATTTTAGGGTGCTTTAATAGGGTGGATGTAACCAGCTATCTTATGAGAGGTATGAATGTCAATAGTGGAAATTAAAATTAATCTTTAAAACAAATAATAATTGACTAAATACTGTAAGTTGTTTTAATTCCACAGTGTAAAAATTTCACGATATCTCAATAAGTACCAATCGCGATGGTTTAAATTTCACGCTGCAGGAAATTAATTTAAATTTCATATAAGCATTCAAACTTTTGAAAACTTATGATAGCTTTCACGATGGGTTTAATTTCGCAGGAAAATGATGAATCGTGAACATAGTGAAATTAAAACCATCGTGTGATTATTTGCCAATCTTCAGTAATAAAATCAGGAAAGAAAATGGTTAACTTTTGTCAAAGCTGATATTTTTTTTAATCAACAACTTTGCTATAAGGCTGTTGTGCATGATCCACATTATTTTTTTTTTTTAAATATTTTGAGAAGTATGATGATATGAGCATTATGCAAATGTACTGATGATGCAATGCAGCAAGGATGATGGATGATTCCTCTGCAGTGTTAAATACAAGTATAGACAGACAAATATGTAATGGGTTCTTATATCATGTTGTATAGGATAGGTTGTGTGATCTTTTACTAAAATATTTGTTCTGAAATACATTTACCTTTTTTTTTTCAATTTTCAGAATGGGAGATTGTAATGAATATGAAAGAGAAAAGTGAGTATTATGGCCATGAAATAGAGTAAATGCTGAAAGTAAATATAAACAAGAATTCCATATTTATACTCGTCTTCCTCCTGACCTCTGGGCTTGAGACCATAAACTGAGAACATACTTAAGTCAAAATTTTGATTTTGAATATCTTGAGTTTTATTCAACATGCAGACTTAAAAATTTGCAGGTTTGTATAATATTCCATTGTACACATATGATGAAAATTTTATTTCATTATCAAAATTATTTCAAAAGTTATATTGATTTGAAATTTTGACTTAAGTCTGTTCTCAGTTTATGGTCTTGGGGCTTGAAATAACCTCTGAGAAACAAAATCAACACTCGTACAAAATACATTGAACAAAATACCAGGTTTTGATGTAGGATTAGGCTGTCCAAAGTTAATTGTACGTTTAATGTCACCCACCGTGCAAGCAAGTTTTGGATAAATTGGCACTTTGTAAAAATGAAGAAATTGATATTTTTTCAAAGTTTCTATTCTCATTTTCTTTTATTTTTAGCAACTAAAAACTGCATTCTATAGAAATAGTCAACATTTCTGCTCTGTATGAGCTGTATTTGGGATGAGACTATCATATAAACTGACAGATTTAATTAAAATGATTATTGATTAGCTTTCATCATGCACAAATATTCACAGTATTTTGATCCATGTCAATGAGTAAATACTCATTTCTCTGAAATTTATTTTTAATTTTTTTTTTCTCCCTCCTCATAGGTTTTTAGGTGACATTAAACATAGAATTAATTTCAGTCAGCCTTAATATGGTTAAGACACATCTCACAGAAAAACCTATACAGCCATCTTGTTATATCGAGATCAATGAATATTTGTCTAAAAGGTACTTGCGTATTGATTTCATTTATACTCCCTCTATACAGTTCAATATCATCTCTATTGGAAGCAATAGGCATTATTGCTCTGTCGTAAAAAGAGCTTGAAGCCTTAGCAATGCTGACTAGCGTAAGATTGAATTGGGGTTGGAAGTTGTTCATAGCTTTGCTGCCGATTTAAAACTGATATTCTTATGAAAACAATGAGAATATGCATATATTCATGAACAGTTGTATCTATTTGTGGCAATATCTTAAACAATTGCTATGATCAATTTTTGCAAGAAAAAAAAAATCACCCCCCTCCAAAAAAAAGTCCATTATTATTCCATATTTTGACAAACCTTCATTTTAACACTGCAGAATATTGAAATATAAACAGGAAATGAATGAAATGTGCCTAACTGAAGCTTGTTTTCTTTTTTCACAGATCCAGGGAGCATTCTTGTCTTCAACCAGCACTAAACCTGCTGCGCTCTAAGCTTCATATTGCCTTACCCTGCCATCATGTGTTGCTTTGGATTTTAGTTTTAACCATTGTTATTAGAGAGTCAAATAATTTATCTCACTTTTTGATGTTTTTGTGGATGATCAGTATTTTTATATCACAAGTGTATTGAAAAATGAAACTTTGGTGAAAGTGACAGCTTTTGTTCCATTGCATTTTGTATTCTTTGAAAAATACCATCTATAAATGAACACGACAAAATGAGAAGAAATATTCAGTTGTATGCTGTTTTGTATAATCTATCATGTATATTTGCATACATTCCAAGTGACTTACATATTTGGAATCTCTGACGGGTTTAATATAGGGATAGGTAGAAAATTCAACTAAAGAAAATGGGAGTTTTTTGGATAGCATGTCTTGTGAATTTTTCTTGTTTTTCAGTAGAATATTATTTCCTATATTTTTCTCCATGGCTGATGCTTTTTCCCCATATATTAAGCTTCAGCCAAGCCATATTTATTTAAAGAAAAAAATGGACAAGATTCTTTGGAGGACTTTTTTTTGCTCTGCAAAATATTTATATGATATGAATTTGAAATTTGGAGAGAAAAAATAGGAGGTGGATGCTTACATGTAAAACAAAGTACTGCATTTTTGATAGATTTCTTACTGTATTTGTAAGCTGCCAATGCTTAACATTCCTTGATACTATGTATAAAAAAAAAAAAAAAACTGCAATATATGGAAATAATGTGATAGAAAAGTTGAACTTTTATTGTGTTCTCAAAACAACTCACCTTTTAATGTAAAACTTTGTTTCTTTTACTTATTTCAAACTGTTAGAGAAGGTGAAAAGTTTTTTTTCTTTTCTAGCATATCACTGATTGCTGGAAGCATTTGTTTATCAAAGAAAATAATAGTGACTAGAAGTAAATATTTAATGTGAAATTTTAATTTTATATGCCAAAAAAAAATGTGAAGAGAGACCTGTGATGATTTGTGTGTGTGAAATTGATCTGACCATCGGTCCTCTGTTGACGGACAGTAATGACCACCGGGAGGTGATGCATGGATGTAAAGGTCATCAGAGGTCATCTGAAACAGACAGAGACGTGTCTGATTGGAAAGGTCTGGATTCAGGGGGGAGAACTCTTTCTGCAGTCTGTGAGAATTCAGGGGAGAATACTCTTTGTGGAGACGCTGGATGAAGTTAAGTGGTTCTGGAGCATTGTGGTGTTATGATGTCATAGTAACTTCAGGCATGACCATAGAGGTCAATTTTATAAACAAAATCTGGGTAAGAATCATTTTTTTATTTCCATGTACTTTGATAGATTTGGAATCCATTCTTTTTGCACATGGAATAATACCAATTAAATGTTAAACCAAAAAAAAATTCTATTTTAAATATGTGTACTTAGTGCCCTTTTTATTTCTTCTTTTTTTTTTTATTTCAGAATGTTATTATAAAGGAGAGAAGGGGAGGAGAGAGAGATCAAAGGAATAAAATTGGTGCCAGCTTTATAACAACTTCTAACTATTGTTCTTCTTTTGTTTACTTCAGCAGTCGGGAAAAAAATGGATTAGTTAAAATGATTTATGCCAGAAAATCTTCCTAACAATTTATTTTCTTCATCTGATGTGCTAACGTGATCATACATGGGTTTGTCTGTGGTGTGTAAGGGAGTGAACAGTGGGATCTAGTCGTTTTGTGGCACGTCAACATGTATATCCTGGGTATCATAAACCTTGATATTTGGGCTTTATGTCATTGATCACAGTGTTATTTGTTTCATTGAATTATATTTATTTTGAGTATGCTATTGTTTTGAATTTGTTCATATTGCGCCAGTGGTCTGAAACACCTCTTACAAGGGTGCTGACGGGGAGATGTTTCCAATACTTAAAATTTTGGGATGACATTATTATTTCGTACTTAAATTCTAGTTCTCTTTTCATGAAAATTTTTTGTTTCACGTGAATCCTGTGTATGGTTAGACATGGTCAATGTTTCTTTTTCACTTTTTAATTGCATGTCGATCCGACTTGAACTTTGATAAGATTCAAAAGTAAATGTAATAGAATTTTTAAAAAATAAGATGATTGTAATTTATATTGTTACATACAAAGATAATCCAGCATTATTTTGGATTCAATCATTCCTCTGTCAGCATGTTTGTGATGTGTTGTGTAAATGCCAAGCCATCAAGGTCATTTACACGGAGGAGGCATTGTTATATGTAGCTTTTAGGTTTGAAAATTTTTTCCCCTTTATGCTTATTAATTTTTTTTTTTTTTTGATACTATTCTGTTTTGTAAGTTTTTTTCCGCCTATTACATGTCTATTGAGAATTGTTATTGCTATGAATGATGGTATGTGTGGTACTTGATTATTTGTTCAAGAAAAAAAAAATTGTCGAATGATTTGTTCAAGTGTTGAAAACTTTCTAGGATGATGTTTAACTTTTATATATATACATGTTAAGGGGAGATATTTTGAATCCCAGCTTTTTGTGTTTTTATAAGAGGGTACTTAAAATTGGTAAAGATGGGATTCAGATTAAAGATGGATTTTGGTAAATTAGAACACAATATTGAAATTTTCAAAATTTGCATAAGGAGTCATCTTTTAGTAAAGCCATTTCATAAAGTACATGTGAAATTTGAGAAATTTTAACCTGATTATATATGAAGTAGAAAAGAATATTGTTTAATGTGTGAACTATAATTTATTGTATTTGATAAAGTTGTACAAATTTTCAGGAAATTTTCTGTTATAATTTTTTTTTGGTCGATAACATCAATTAATACTGGTTTCAGTTTTTATGTAGATTTGAATCACCAAAAGGGGAAAAATTTAAATTTGTGTTAACAAGTTTGATAATGAACAAACTGAAATTTGTATTTTTGTTAAGATGGTTACATTGAGATAAATTTTGGAGATAATTTAACCAGTGTGACTGGTGGCATTGTTCCAATACTAAGTTCTCAAGTTTCTGGTGAGGACATCACTGCCATAAGATCTAACAGTTTGTATGATCATTGGAACAATGTAGAACTTGAGATGCTCAACATACAGTGACATGGGCACGATGTGTCAGGTTATTAACAATAAAGATAACATATATCATTCAGTGTTTATTTTTTTCCTGTTTACATACTTTATTGGCTGTTTTTCAAAGATAAGGGACATTTTGCATTCAGTCTTTGTCTCTATTAACTTTAACCTTGCTTGTAACATCTGAACATAACAATATGGAGATATCATATGTGTAGAACGGTAGCTTATGACTAGAAGGTGTGACCTAACCCTAGATCAAGGTCGTTGGAAAAAGTAAATGAATTGCTGTCCAGTCCATAACTTTTTTTTTTTGAGGAACATGAAGACCTTACACAGCAGGAAGCTTCCTGTTAATCAGAATGCTGTTTTATAATGACCCATAGTTACTGATCAAGGTGTGGAGTCTGGTCAGTAATTTTCTGACACAAATCTGCTTACGACTGATGAGGTCATTTGAAGGTGGCAGTCATTTACAATGTAAAACGTAACCTTTTAAAGGTTTATTTTTGTTGATTTTTTTTTGTATTCCATTTTCTTTTAGAAAACATTGTTGGATGTAAGAGAACTCTAATCAGATTCTTTTGGATCACATTTATTGGACCATGGGGGGTGGGGTGGACACAAAATAAAGGATCAAAATTCTACATGGAAATTTATAGGGAAAAAAGGCTTTAAAAATCTCAAGAACAGCAGGGCCACGTACTACCAATGTAGTGTAGATTCAAGTTCCTTTGGGCTAGTATGGGGCACAATAAGGGGTCAAGTTTTATATGGAAATATATAGAAAAAAAATCTTTAATATTCTCTCAAGAAGAGAAGGGCAAATACTGTAATTGCATTATATTGAGCATGTACAATATTTGGCTGAAATTGATTTATCAATAAGTTGGTGTATAGTTTGATTTAGTGCATTTTTAATGTGCTAAAATAGATAAAAATGTATAAACATTTAGCTATCTACATTGTATATTAGTGCTCTATTATTTTCTGTGATGAGTGCTAAAAAAAATAGTCAGCCAAATGTATTATTATATAGTCTATAAATAGTCCCTATATAATCTATACAAATGCAAACAGTTCACAATACTACATATTCACTGGATTTGAAGCCGTATTCACCGGAGGGTCAGTGAGCGTGCAGCAGCATTGTGACGTCACAATCAAACCTAAAACAACGTTGAAAACAATGGTTGCAACGGCCGGAGCCAGCTTTACATAGACCTATATCTGAGCAGGAAAACTATTAGGCAAATTTCTCGTAGGATTATTTTCCAAACATTTTAGATGTCTTACACACAGCAAAAGGAAAACACAGAAGTTATAAGTTATAATCTGGACATTTTTTTTAATTTTTCTAGGACAGAAGTTTGTTAATGAAAATGGAGTCGTCATGCAGCCTTCAATGTCTTATTCATTCAAATCCTGACTATATAATAAAACAATTATGGACTCTTTCGGTGGTGAATATGGTTTGTTATTCACCAAAAAATATCAATATTGACCTCGGCTTCGCCTCGGTGAATAACAAACCATATTCACCACCAAAAGAGTCCATAATTGTATAATGTTTACAGTATTAGATTTAGGTGAGAATTGTGGGTATCTTCTTATTCCTTCTTCTGTCATTTTTGCTAACCTCCCCCATTATACTACAAATGGGAAAATGCCCTCAAGGTTGATTCAGATTTGTTAACATGAATACACTTTAGACCAAGTTAGGGATCTTAAGTTTTACAGTGGAGGAAAAAGACCTTGAAACATATTCAACAAAAGGTCCACTTAGTTTATCTGCTAAATACCCAGGGGTAGAGAAAAAGATTTTCAAAAGAATGTGTTTTCTCTTTAAGATGAATAGAGCCCAAGGAGAAGAGCATTTTCACTATATGATCAATAAAGCCCCACCCTAACTCAAGAACCTCTGACCAAGGGGTTATGAATTTCACAATTTTGAAAGAGGCACCCTTGCTCATCATTATTATGCACTTAGTTTGTCTGCTTAAAAACCCAGAAGCAGAGAATCTTTTCAGAGAATTAATGCATCTTCACTGTATGATCAATAGCCCCACCCAAAATCCCGATGAAGGGGCCATGAGTTTCACAATTTTGAAAGAAGCACCCTTGCTCATCATAATTATGCACTTTGTCTGTTAAAAACCCAGGCACAGAAAAGAGTTTTGAAGAACTGATGCATTTTCCTATATGATCAATAGAGCTCCATCTTAACTCCAGAACCTCTCACTAAATTTAACAATTTTGGAAGAGGTGCCCTTGCTCATTATAATCATGCACTAATTTGGTCTGCTTAATACCCACGAGCAGAAAAGAAGATTTTCAAAGAATTAATGCATTTTCACTATATGTCTATGATCAATAGCCTCCCACCCTAGAACCAGAACCCTTGACCATGGAGCAATGAATTTCACAACTGTGGTATAGGGTTCATTATGCTTACTTCAATCATGCCAACAGTTTGACTGCTTGATGTCCAGGAGTAAAGAAGAATTTTAAAGATTGCACTTATTTTGATGGTTTTAGCCCTAACCCTCAGTCTCCAGGGGGCAGAGACTATGAAATTCACATTTTGGTTCCCCTTTACCTATAGATTCTATATGCAAAATTGGTTGAAATCGTTTAAACAGTTTCAGAGAAGAAGCTGAAAATGTTCAAAAGAACACAAAAACAAGAGGCCCATGGGCCACATCGCTCATTTGAGTAGCTTTGGCCATGCTATTCTTTACCAGATTTCCCCCCTTGTTATACCTATTGTGGCCCCGCTCTACCCCTGGCGGACATGATTTGTAAAATTTAGAATCTACACTACCCCAGGATGCTTCCACATCAGTTTCAGCTTTTCTGGCCCAGTGGTTCTTAAGAAGAAGATTTTTAAAGATTTTTCCTATATATTTCAATGTAAAACTTGAATTCCCTATTGTGGCCCCGCCCTGCCCCCGGGGGTCATGATTTAACAAGTTAGAATCTACACTATCCCAGGATGCTTCTACATAAGTTTCAGCTTTTCTGGCAGAGTGGTCCTTGAGAAGATTTTTAAAGATTTTTCCTATATATTTCAATGTAAAACTTGAATTCCCTATTGTGGCCCCGCCTTACCCCCGGGGGTCATGATTTTAATAATTTGGAATCTACACTACCCCAGTATGCTTCCACATTAGTTTCAGCTTTTCTGGCCCAGTGGTTATTGAGAAGAAGATTTTTAAAGATTTTTCCTATATATTTCAATGTAAAACTTGAATTCCCTATTGTGGCCTTGCCCTACCCCCAGGGGTCATGATTTTAACAATTTAGAATCTACACTATCCAAGGATGCTTCCACATAAGTTTCAGCTTTTCTAGCCCAGTGGTTATTGAGAAGAAGACTTTTAAAGATTATTCCTATACCGTAAAACTCGGTTATAATGAAGTCATAGGGACCTGTGAAATTACTTCGCTATATCTGTAATTCATCATATCCGTATAAGGAATTCGTAAAATTTATTTAGCTGGGGATCCAAGAAAACTTCGCTATATCCGTGAATTCGCAATATCCGTGTTCGTACTAAACGAGTTTTGCTGTATATTTCAATGTAAAATGTGAATTCCCTATTGTGGCTCCGCCCTACCCCCGGGGGTCATGATTTTAACAATTTAGAATCTACACTATCCCAGGATGCTTCCACATAAGTTTCAGCTTTTCTGGCCCAGTGGTTCTTGAGAAGATTTTTAAAGATTTTTCCTATATATTTCAATGTAAAACTTGAATTCCCTATTGTGGCCTCGCCTTACCCCCGGGGGTCATGATTTTAATAATTTAGAATCTACACTACCCCAGTATGCTTCCACATTAGTTTCAGCTTTTCTGGCCCAGTGGTTATTGAGAAGAAGATTTTTAAAGATTTTTCCTATATATTTCAATGTAAAACTTGAATTCCCTATTGTGGCCTTGCCCTACCCCCAGGGGTCATGATTTTAACAATTTAGAATCTACACTATCCAAGGATGCTTCCACATAAGTTTCAGCTTTTCTGCCCAGTGGTTCTTGAGAAGATTTTAAAGATTTTTCCTATATATTTCAATGTAAAACTTGAATTCCCTATTGTGGCCCCGCCCTACCCAAGTGGGTCATAATTTTAACGATTTAGAATCTACACTACCCCAGTATGCTTCCACATTAGTTTCAGCTTTTCTGGCCCAGTGGTTATTGAGAAGAAGATTTTTAAAGATTTTTCTTATATATTTCAATGTAAAACTTGAATTCCCTATTGTGGTCCTGCCCTTCCCCCAGGGGTCATGGTTTTAACAATTTAGAATCTACACTATCCAAGGATGCTTCCACATAAGTTTCAGCTTTTCCGGCCCAGTGGTTCTTGAGAAGAAGATTTTTAAAGATTTTTCCTATATTTTTCAATGTAGAACTTGAATTCCCTATTGTGGCCCCACCCTACCCCCAGGGGTCATGATTTTAACAATTTAGAATCTACACTATCCTAGGATGCTTCCACATAAGTTTCAGCTTTTCTGGCTTAGTGGTTCTTGAGAAGAAGATTTTTTAATGACCCACCCTATTTTTGTCTTTTCTTGATTATCTCCCCTTGTAAGGGGACTTGGCCCTTTATTTTAACAATTTAAACTCCCCTTCACCCAAGGATACTTTGTACCAAGTTTGGTAAAATTTGGCCCAGTGGTTCTTGAGAAGAAATTGAAAATGTGAAGAGTTTACAGACAGACGGACGGACGGACAGCTAGACGTACGGACAACGGGTGATCAGAAAAGCTCACTTGAGCTTTCAGCTCAGGTGAGCTAACAAAATGTTAAGAAGCTATCACATTTTCCTATTATATTCACATGTAAAACTTTGATCCCCTATTGTGACTCCACTCTATCCCCCGAGGCCCACAATTTAGAATCCACACTTCTACCAGAGGAGGCTTTTATATTAAAATTGCATAATGGTCCTAGCCTACTATTGAGAATTTTTTATATAGTCCCCTTTAAATTTTGATCTCCTATTGTAGCCCTATCCTATCCCCAAAATGTGAACAATTTAATTAGACTAAGTATCTACATATGTCAAGAAGCTTTTATATAAGTTTGCTCATTTCTAGTTCATTGGTTCTGGAGAAGATAATGTTTTCCTATATATATTAACATGTAAATCTTTGATCCCCTACCGTTGCCCCACCCTATCCACAGAGGCCATGACTTGAACAATACATATTGAGCTTTTACATCATATATTATGTGCATACAAGACTTTTATCCCCTATTGCAGCCCTGATCTATACCTGGTGCCTATGATTTGAACAATTTATAATTTACGCCATAAATGTTAAAAAAACCGGGGGGGGGGGGGGGGGGGGGGGGTAGCCGCTCACTTCTAAAGCTTCATATTTATGACTTTTCATACCAACATTTTCAAGGGGGGGGGGGGGGTTCAAGGTCACTTTAAGTAGCTTTAGTATATACATTTAATAACTCTCCCCCCCTTTCTAGATCCGAGCATGTATTAAATGTGCTTCATCTTTTCTGGTAAATTGGTTCTTGAAAAGATTTTTTAATGACCCCACCTTGTTTTAACTTTTCTTGATTACTGTTATCTCCACTTTGAAGGGGGCATGGCCCTTCATTTGAACAATTTAGAATCCCCTTTCACCAATCTGTGCCATGTTTGGATAAACTGGCCCTGTGGTTCTTGGGGAAAAAAATTGTAATATTGACAGACAGGTAGACAGATGGATGCTTGACAACTGCTAATCTGAAAGCTCAGGCAAGCTAATAAAAAACCATTCACTCAATGTGGCATGTACTTATTGGATATATTTTTGGACAACCAGTTTTAGCTCACCTGAATTGAAAGCTCAGGTGAGCTTTTCTGATCACATTTTGTCTGTAGTCTGTCAGTAAACCTTCCACAATTTCAACTTCTTCTCCAGAACCACTTGGCCAATTTTAACCAAACTTGCAACAAAGCATCCTTGGGTGAAAGGGATTCAAGTTTGTTCAAATGAAAAGCCACACCCTCTTTCAATGGGAGATAATTAAGAATTCGTTAGAATTTCGTGGCATCTTTCAAAAATTTTCTTTTCAAGAACCAAAAAAGTTGAAACTTATGTGAAACCTTCATTCTATAGTGTAGATTCAAGTTTGTTCAAATCATGACCCACAGCGTTCGGGTGGGGCCACAATGGGGGATCGAAGTTTTACATTAGAAATATAGGAAAAAAAGTCTTTAAAAATCTCCTAAAAACAGCAAAGCCATGATTGGTCATATTGATATGGAAGCATCCTCAGATAGTGTAGATTCTTGTTTGTTAAAATCATGACCCCTGGAGGTAGGGTGGGTGGGAAATTGAAAATTCAGAAATTAATTTACTACCTTTCAGGGGTCAATTTGCAAAAATTTCCAACCACAGAAAATACCTGTTATACGGTATATAGGAATATATGGGAAAAAAATCTTTATAAATCTTCTCAAGTACAGCAAAGCCATGATTAGTCATACTGATATGGAAGCATCCTCAGGTAATGTATATTCAAGTTTGTTTAAATCATGCCCCCTTCCCAGGAACAGGGTGGGGCAACAATGAGGGATAAAAGTTTTACATAGGAATATATGGGGAAAAAAGTACAACAAAACCATGATTAGTCATATTGATATGGAAACATCCTCAGGCATTTGGTCAAATCATGACCCATGATAGGTGGGAGTCAAAATGGGTGATTAAAGTTTCACATAGGATTTATCTGCTGCTGAAGAACAGCAGGGTCATATTGACTCAGATGAGCATTGTCGCCCATGAGCCTCTTGATATTATACAATTATGGACTTCAGCGTGGATCGATATGTGATTCTAAGGACCCATGGCAAGTGATATTGACCGAAGACACAGAAAGTGATAGCGACCGAGCTTCCGAGGTCGCTATCATTTTATGTGTCTGGGGTCAATATCACTTGAAAAGGGTCCTTAGAACCACATATTGACCGTTCCTTGAAGTCTGTAATAGTTATATTATATAATCACTCAAAGTGAATAATCTGACACGGTCCTAACTGAACAGACTTGGCTTCACTACGTCACAATGGTAAAAACATGCTTATTATACTATGAAATCACGTTCTACATAACAAGTCGTGCGATATCATATTCCGCGGGCGCACTTTTGCGTCAATATTGCAAAAGGACGAATATCACGTGACATCATTTCAGCAAATGAAAATTACGAAAATAATCTTGTATCCATCACTCACTGGTAAATTCATACTACTCAATCCTTTAGATAAACCCCTACCAGTTTGTTATATCCCTCGAAATAATGTTGTAGAGAGGTATACTGGAATCGCCATGTCCTCCCATAGATGCAAGGTTAAGCTCAGTGGTTCAGTCACTTTCTGGCTCATCTCCAGACAAGCTTGCTCGTGGTAGCTAATATTTAATAAGATGCAGTAGCATACCCCTCTTGGGTACAAGTCTCATTAGGACAGCTCTAGTATGAATTATTTCATTGTTTTAAAATTTTGAAGAATAAATTTTTCCCTCTTTGGGGCATTGTTAACTACAGCCATTGTTACTGAGAATAATTGTACTTTATTATGGCAATGTTATAAAATTTTGAATAAGGAGAAGACTATCTAAGTTGTAGAACTTGTGTCTTATCCTTTTGGCTTTGTCAATAAAATATGTTCAATTCAATACACCCATGATGATTTTTGTTTTTTGCTCAAATGTTTCTCAAGCAGATTCTATTATAACAAAATTGACAATGTCCAATTGACACAATTTTATTGTAACCAGGGTTACCTTCTAAAATATGCTTAATGACTAAAAATTTGTAACAGAATTTTCTGCGCAATATTTACGAAGACATGATTTTGCTTCATGCATAAATATTTTAGGCAAAGTACATGTATGTACACAATATGTCTGGTTGAAATGTACATGCTAATTTTTACAGTGTGGTTAAAATAATGTCATTTCTAAGACTTATTTTATTATGTACAGTTTTTGACAATTTAAAAATATCATTTTCCTCTACATATACTTGCACTAAATGCAAATATCATAACAAAACAATGCATTGTATAAATGACAATAAATAATCCTAATTAAATTCAAAAACAATGTGTAAAAACAATCATAAACATAGGATATATATAGAATATCTAACTTGGGATTCAAAGATGAGGGTCATATAACATTAAAGCTTTCGGGTTGATTTTTCAGCAGTTGCACAACTCCTTTCACAAGTCAAACTTGTTCACATTACCAGTCTTTTCATTCTTTAAAATCTCTGGTTTCTTTTTTTCACTATCAATATACACAGTGAAGATACATGTTTTAAACATGACAATTGTACACCTTATATATAAAGAAATTGAGGACTTTGCTATTGTTGTCACAATAATGTCGAGTTTTAATAGTTTAATAATCTGTCTTCAGATGGCGACAAATACCAAACTTTGTTTTACCTCCATAAATACCCTTAATTATTGAAAATAAAGAAATTGAGGACTTTGCTACCCTTTATTATTGAAATCAGGATGACAAATAGTTTTATCCAACAAGTGGCTTACATTTTTTTCGATTATGAAATATACAAAATCCTTGAATTTGCTGTTTTATTTTGCAAAATAAGGATCTCACTTCCATATACATGTAGTTTCTTATCAAATAATTACTTAAGTTCAGATATATCATGATTGATTGCTGCAAAAGATTCCTTAAAATCAGAATTAGCTTGACAAAAGAAATATTCCTTCACATACAATGGAATTAAATTCTATAAAAAGTTGCATTTTTTCCTGGATCCTGTGGATTTGATGACAACCCTGAGTGAACCATTTCTGATGATATTTACATTGAGGGGGGTAAAGAGAACATTCAGCTGCCCTATAAAATGCTGGCTGGTGGAGAATGGGAAAGGGGGGGGGGGTAGTATTTTAACGTGTTATAATGAGCTTCTACACTTTACACGAGGACTTTATCTGAAGGTATAAATCTTTAAATGTGATACAAAACCTTGAGCACAGGAGATTTCATAATGAATATCTAGAACTACTGTGGTTAAACTGTCTTTTCAGTTTTAATACAAGAAAATAAGACTGAAAGTTATTAAATTCATAAAGATGAGGGAGAGTTTACCCAGTCACATAGTTTAGAGAAACATAAGGTAGAAATATGACATGACATTTGTCCACCCCAAATTCTGTAATTACCCATTACACAAGGTGTTTTCTAGTGAAAAATCAGTGCTGAATGTTACAAGAGGGTCCATGTCATATCATATGGAATGCAAAAATATATGCATAGAGTTAAATATCTGTTTCTTATTTGGCTTTTGTAAAGAATGATTCGGATTGAAATTGTCTTCAACAGTTTGTAGTTAACAAAAAACCATCAGGCTTTAAATTGCTTGAGACTGCTTTATTCACATCTGTTTATTTTTCATATAGAGCTTGCTGTATATATTTCTTTTATTCCCATCGTTTTAAATGAACTGAATTTAAACAGACACGATTTTCTTTGAAGACCATGGATAAAAGTGTAAAAATACCAACCAATGGATAGGAGTGATTTAACAGTACTCAATACCGATCCTTGAACAGAAATTATAAGTAGTCAATACCTGATCAGCCCTGAACATTCTAGGTTAGGGAAGAATCAGATCTGTCGAGCACTCACACATGTATGTAGTTAACTTTGTCTTACTGGGATAGGTACTCAAGGAAAACATTATTTTTAAAATTCCATAGGTAACTCCTTACAAAAGATTAAAAACAACCCATAGACAGAATAGCTAAAGATTGTTGACGTACATTTCCATAGGAAGTCATGACAACACTGATGTTTCTCTTTACAAATTCAAGTACTGGCCCAATTCTGGACAAAGCTCTTAGAAGAAGAAAAAAATCCACCAATAAAATACAACCTCCTTTTCTTTATAAATCTAAATACCTCTTTAAATAATACCTATAAACTCCTCATTAATTTAATACTCAAGTTTGAGCTAATTACAATTTATAAAAAAAATCTCCTAAATAATGACAATATGAAATCTATGGGACTGAACCTCTGAGAGTTGATTTAAGTAATGACATAGGTTCTTTCTTTCTTTCCTGTCCTAAAGAATTAGTTGCATGGTCCACAATGCTAAACACAAATTGAAGACAACCAACTTTGATGTAGCTCCCATGATGCAACAGTGCTGTTCCTTCCCATCCTGCACCACTCCCTCCAATCAAACTTGAGCTACTGGCCTTACAATTACAAGGCTTCTTGTTCTACAATCAATTAATTAGCTAATTAATCAAAAGGTCTAAAACATTTGTTAATATAATCCATGAAATTTGCAAGTTAGTTATTTATGCTATATAAAGAGTCAATCACTTGCCTCATTAGCTTTGCCACTCATTGTCAAGCGTTTCTCTTCCTTTGCCTCGTCATCTTTTGCTTTCTCCACTTTCTTATTCTTTATGATTTTGCGGACAGCTGCGACAACAGACGTGGGCTGTGGTGTTGACGAAGGCTTGTCACTGAAGTCACACGAGTATAGGACGTTGTCCACCGTTGTTCCATGCTCACTGTAGTTCAAAAGCTCATAGTGTTTGGTTGTCTGAAAAATCAAGGAAATAATTTCTCCATTATAAATCTTTCTATACCTAAGTAGGACTTTGCATAAAATTCCTCCCCATATTAATAAAATATAGTCAAACCTCTCTTTAACTCAATGGGACCGAGAAAAATCTTCAAGATATCAGAGGACTCAAGATATCAAGGGTAAAATACTAAAGGAATATGTTGTTGGGACTTCCAAATCACTTCGACATATCCATGGTATTCGAGATACTGAAGTTTAACTGTATGCTAATTCATAAATTATTCCGTTTCATATGATATATAAAGTTACATGTCTGAATCTCTCCTCTCTACAAGTTTTATAGGTAGAAAGTTGAAACTGTGAAATGCTAAAACAAAACACAATTTTACCTCATCATAAAACACATATGCATGTTTGGGAGAAATATAATTGCAGTGTCCAAACTGGGTCAAACACACATCCATGTCCGCACCTACACAATAAAGTATCAAACGTATGAAAATATATAATGTACAACTGTACACCAATGTACATGTATGAATAAGCAGTTGAAATTAAATTAAGAACTGACCTGTTCCGATATTGAGGGTCCTGTAACACATGGATATCGGCTGGCCTTTGCTGGTTAGAGGACAAAGGACGGCTCGGGCTTTCACCTCAGTGCTACCTATTATAATTTTTTTTAAAAAACTTCAAATTAATATGTTTATATCTATTTTCAGCTGCAAACAAGGTCTTTAAAAGTTTAATATTGACTAATTCAGTATACATGACAGTCAGAAACTCTTTGATATCTGCAGGACATTGTCTCACACACCTGCTTGATTTAGCAGTCCATTTAACACTCCCTTCTTGTTTGGGGTCTGTGGGGAACTGGATTTGGATGGTAACAATTGCTGAAGTCTTTGCCAGGCCAGGATTTGAATCAGTTTTTCATCCAACTTACTCAGTTCTATATCTGAAGCACATAATTCATCACTCAATAAAAACCTTTTGCCACATGTATATGATAAATGAAATTATAATGTCAGAGGCCAAAAATATTCACAGATACACAACCTGAAAAGAAACTTACCACGTCAATGACATACATTAGGTCCCAGAAAAATTCTTTTTTAGCTATAATTACTTTAATTTCATGTAATTCTCTTTTGATTACCCCTTGTCACCTGTTGCTTCTAGACACTGTTGGAAAGAGTTATTTAGGGAGACTTTTTGTTGGTGTGAGTTATTAAGGCAGACTTACCACCTGTTCCCTCTATACTTTGTTGGTGTGAGTTGGGCAGACTTACCACCTGTAACCTCTAGACTTTGTTGGTGTGAGTTATTAAGGCAGACTTACCACCTGTTCCCTCTAGACATTGTTGGAGTGAGTTATTAAGGCAGACTTACCACCTGTAACCTCTAGACTTTGTTGGTGCGAGTTATTAAGGCAGACTTACCACCTGTAACCTCTAGACTTTGTTGGAGCGAGTTTTTAAGGCAGACTTACCACCTGTTCACTCTAGACATTGTTGGTGTGAGTTTTTAAGGCAGACTTACCACCTGTAACCTCCAGACTTTGTTGGTGTGAGTTATTAAGGCAGACTTACCACCTGTAACCCCTAGACTTTGTTGCAGTGAGTTTTTAAGGCAGATTTACCACCTGTTCACTCTAGACATTGTTGGTGTGAGTTATTAAGGTAGACTTACCACCTGTAACCTCTAGACTTTGTTGGAGTGAGTTTTTAAGGCAGACTTACCACCTGTTCCCTCTAGACATTGTTGGAGTGAGTTATTTAGGGAGACTATGGCATTGGATGAGTTCTGGCTGCCAGTAGTGGAAGATGGTTTGCCACCTGAGATCGTAATATTGCTATTGGATGAGGCTCCACTTTTACCTGTAATAAAGCATTGTTCAGAAAATTACATCTTCAGGATCAGAGTTTTATGCACCTGTCTCAGAAATTTTCTTTGGATTCTACTGTCTGATAACTAATATATCAGGAATAAAACTAATTATTTCATAAGTTTCACTTCCTCTGCTTTATTCCTATTCATAAATATTTCCGAGCATGAAATTTAGCCTGTGTATAAGGACCTACCAGTAGTTGGTGTGGAGACAGTGATGACCTTGGCTGTTGAGCCTACAGTGTTTGTCCTGCCCTGTACACTGGCCACTTTAATTGCTGACTGTCCAGACACGCGCGGAGACAGGATTGATGTTGAGCTGCTGCCACTGTTAGCTGCCACGTTGTTTGCTAGGAGTTTGTTGCCCTGAGTCGGACCTAACACTTTTGTGACTACAGTATTGTTAGCTTTATTGATAGCACTAATGACAATGTTTTTACCAGATGGTGTAGTTGAAGTAGATGCCCCTGAGGTGGTCTGTTTGTCCATGGATGCCCAGTTAACCCTCACTATGTTGGCTGGAGATCCATCAACACTTTTACTCCTGGATTTGATTAAAACAGTCTCTGATTTACTTTTACTAGATTCCCCCAATTCCCCATTCATAGAACTTTGTGATGAGGGACCTGGGGGATGCAATAAAGATATTGCACCCCCTCGATTTCCTTCCAAAGGTCCATTTGAAATAGGGTCTGAGAGAGGACCATTAAGGGGTTTATCCACCTCCATATTAGTCACTTTAGAATCACACAAGCCCCCTTCACTGGGCTGCGAGTCACTACCCTGGATCACAGGTTGCACTGAGGCTGTAGGTTTCTCCGTTTTAACACTCTGCTCTGATTTTCCAGATTCTGATGAGGACTTTTGTATCTGTTTTTGAGCTAAATGTCTGGCTATACTGGTTTGTAATGAAACAACTGCAGACAACCACTGAAATGTTCAATATTTAATGGAGCATGAATATTAACAATGCAATATTTGATAATTCTAACAGATACTTAATGTTAAAATTCTCATGTTTTCCAGTTATGTTAATTTTTCTGATAAGCGTCACCTTTGTTCTTTGCATGAGTAGACTGAATTGTGAATAAATTAAAGATTACAAAAACTGGTATTATTTATTACTCAAAACTGGAAAATACAGTCAAATCTCATTATCTTGAACCTCAAAAGGACCAAGACTGAATAAAAAAAAAAACAAAGGGGAAAGTGCTTTTCTTTTCTTTTCTTTTTTTAAAGTTTACCTCTTCCTGATCTTCCAGTGTAGTGTCAGGGACTGTCTTCTCGTCAGTTTCCACTACTGCTGTCGTGTCAGGATCCGTAACACAAGGAAGTAAGGGTGAAGGGTTTTGATAATGAAGTTTGATTGCTTCTGGAATCTGTACAAAAAAAAAATAAATAAAATTAGACCAAGAAAGGACTGCACCAATTTTAAGATACTTCATACTTTTCATTAAAAGTTAAAAAAGACATTAACGGATATTTCTCAGCAGTATCATTTAAATACATACGAAAAAATAAGATAAAACGAGAGAATATTTTTACCGCTAATGATTTGCGCCTCGGATGTTTGACTTTGATCCTAAAAGGTGGACTCTCTCTGTGGATCTTGTTAAGAAAGTTGAGTTTGACGGTATGCTGACTAATGCGGTTATTGAACTTGTTCCATAATTTTATACGCTCAGTTAGGCCAACACTTTTCAACAGATGTTCATCCTGGATTTAAAATAAACAAAAGGCCCATAGGCACATTGGTCACCTTAGCACTTTGGCTAGGAAATCAGTTCAGTATTGAAAATGTTTAAATACAAAAGTGGTTGTGGTGGTGGTGGTGGTGGGGGGGGGGGGGACAAAATTTGACCACTATTGAATCTATACTACCTAATGATGCTTTTGAATTAATATAACCAATCATGGCTTTGTTGTTCTTGAGAAGGTTTTATTTAAAAGATTTTTATGTAATTATGATTGCACATTGTGGCCCCACCCTACCCCCTGAGGTAATGATTTGAACAAACTTGAATCTACACTGAGGATGTTTCCACATAAGTTTCAGATTATCTAGCCCAGTGGTTCTTGAGAAGATGTCTTTAATTTTTCACTTATTTGTAATTATCTCCCCTTGAAAGAAGGTGTGGCCCTTCATTAAAGTTCATTTTAACAAACTTGAATTCCCTTTACCCATGGATACTTTTGGTAAGTTTGGTTGAAATGGGTCCAGTGGTTCTTGAGAAGAAGTCAAGAATGTGAAAAGTTTACATACAGATGGACAGACAGACGGATGGCAGACAAAATGTGATTTGAAAATTTCACTGGAGCCTTCAGCTCAGGTGAGCTAAAAATATCTAAAACTCAAATCAATAATATAATTCAGTTTGTTTTTATCAATTTTGAAATGTTGATAATTATATTTTCCCACTTACAATAACATTTTCTGGATGGTTTGGACACATCCATCGATTGGTAGGTGGAGAAGCTAGTGGAGGATTAAGGCAGTCTAGATGATACAGTAAGGGGCAGTAATCACACTGTACGAGGGCCCCTACACGACAGCTCCTATAAACAGTTTATTGTGCAATGTTTAGAACTGAATATGATACTGAATTGAGTCTCATTCATATTTATTAGCTATCTTCATAGGTTTTTTTTCCCCAAACCTATTCTTTCCCTGAATAAACAACTTTCTGCAGTAATGTTCATTACACAAATACATTTACATTCCTTGAAATGCACAGAAGAATAATTTTCAGCAAAATGTCTGATGTTTGTGAACTTTGTATAAACGATTATCTTCTTCATAATAAACCTCTTCATGTTACAGATGATCATATACAAAAATAGTCCCTTTTAAAGACAAGCAAAAGTACTTGGGTCACTTACTTGCTGCAGTAAAAGCATAGCTTTGCTGGCAGAGGAACTAACCCATTATCTAATTCATGAGCAAACTTCTTATTCGGGTTCCTATCTCTGCCCCACCATTTCCTTTTACTTGATCCTGGAGGAAAAAAAACTATCATAAAAATTCCTCTGTTAAAATCAAGGTTGTGGATAATCACTTGCCCGCTTGCCAATGCAAGTAAAATTTGCTGTGGACCATTACGTATTCTGAACCTAGTCGCCCACAATTTTTTTTCCAGAACCTAATCACATTTCACTTTTAATATGTATATGTACTTTCAGTTTTAATAAAACGCTCTATTAACCAGATAATTTGTGTTGCGTGCAAAGCAGATAATTCAAACATGTACATGACCTCAGCTTAACATGGCGATTTACCTAATCAAAGTGGTTAAGAAACAAATTTCTTTGATAAATACATGAGCAAACATTTGAGATTGTTCTTAAATATAAAAATGTAATAAATCTGCTATGATTGTCAGATATTCCAACCGCAATGGTTTGTTTCAAATTCACAATAGTCGACAGGAATCAAACTTCATCTCGTGTTGTAGTGACCAGCGCAGCACAGTGGTTAGAGCGTCCGCTCTAGAGTCACGGAGTAAGGAGTTGATCCTTACGTCGCGGGTTCAAATCCCACTGCGGGACGTGGAAACCAGTCCTTTGGATGAGACCGTATAAACCGAGGTCCCTTGTTGCAGTAGGTGCTGGCACGAAAAAGATCCCTCACTGCTCAATGGCCCTAAGTGCCGAGTGTAGGTCAGAATTTGTAGCCCTCCACGGGCAAGTGGTGGCGTCTCCATATGAGTGAAAAATTCTCGAGAGGGACGTTAAACAACAATCAATGTTGTATGTCATGTAATTTGGCCCCCCTGTTACACATGACAAAATATAACAAACAATATATTATTGGATCAATTTTTTTTTTTAAATTCTTGAAACTTCAAACACCGCAAATTTATTGAGGACTATACCCCCCCTTTCCAGTTCAATTTAAAACATTTGAGGAACATTCTGTTGTTATTTTTTAATTCATATAATGTGGGCCCATAAACTGTAAAAAGTTAGGGGTCCACATGGCCCCTCAGTTTCAACTGTTAACCACTTCAATTATTAATTTTATGTAATTATAGCTTACATTTTTGCTCCACCCATTCATTCTATGATTTTTTTCACCCCAGGATTCAGATTGTGAGGGCAACAGACCTGACACTTGCAGGGAGTAAAATTTTTAGAAAATAATTTTTAAAAACCTTAAAATTAAAAGACTGCATTTTTTTTTCCATCCACAAAAAAATCATAATAATTTTCAAAAACATTATAATTGAAAGATTGCATGTTGTCCATCTAAAGAAAATCATAATAAATGTAATACTTTAAACATACATAAATTAGCCTGCTCAAAATTTGGCACTATCTATTTCTTCAACTGATTAGCCCATCATAAATTAGCAAACTTGACAAGTATTGGTTTAAATCATGTGTTATTGTGTACTTTTGGCTACAGTTCTATTCCTAGAAATCATACCAGGCAGTGGTGTAGTGCAAGCTATGTCTCTGGGTAAATCAAACTGGACTGGGTTCATCAACTGGGCAGCTCTGGCCAACTTTTGTAAAGGAGTTAAATGTTCTGTAGTGGGTGTATCAACTAAAATCTCCTCAATGATAGGGATGGGTGGCTGTGGTCGGGATTTCCGACTTGTATTGCTGCTATTGCTTTTGGTTGAAGAGGCATCATCATCTTTTTCTTTATCTTTAGATGGCTGTATTAATATAAAGAAACCTATGTTTCATTTTTTAGAATAAATTATTTAACAATGTCCAATTCTTCTGTATCATATCTCTTTCAGATAGAACTAATTTGCTGCAACATTATTTCTTTTCTTTTTGTACCTCTGCCTTGGGTGGAGAGACCTTACAACGATGACATCGCCATTCACCAGGCGGTACATCATCCTCTTCTAATGGAGGATCACTGTATGAGGGAAAAAATTCAATTAAAAGTTATTAATAAAAATATATCAAAAGTCAGAGAATCAATCAAGTTCATCTTTACTGAAATTGCCAATATTCTGGCAAATGATTATTACTGTAGCATACATGCCTGAATTAAAATAATCAATATATGTCTCTCTAATAATAAAAGTAATGCTAAATCCAAATAATGCTTATGTTACGCTGAAACCTACTGGCACTGTAAATGAAAAGCTGCTGGGCACCAATCACAACAGAGTAAATCTCCTCCTTCCTTACAACTGTCACAACTATCATGATTTACAGCCCGACCCTGTCTTCTACTCTCCCTTTCTTTTCTTCTCTGTCGGCGCAGTACTTCATCACTTACTGGAGGAGCAACAAGCTTTTGAATTTGCTGCAACATATTTCGATAATTGGTGTCAATAAATATATAAATAATTGATATTCATTTTGATATTGTACAAGATTTAATAACAGTTATAATTCCAACTAAATCACAAATTGAACATTTCTCCATTTTGTAATTAAATCGAACTTAATTATTTCTTAAACATTTATGTGAAGAAAACATTGTTTGCGACAAATTAATCTCAAACTCTAAATTATTGCCTGTCAGTGTAAAAAGGACTGTTAAACTGACATGGATCAATTCAAAGTTGATATTCTTGTACATTACAATGAAATAACAGTGAGAGATTTTAAGAATGGCCGCCATGACGGTTTTCGTATTTTAGATATTGTCCACACGCACCAAAAAAAAATCCACAAAGACCGAATAAATGCTTATTTAATTCATGACAAACCTCCATTAATCCTCCAGAAGTATCAAGATCGTATTCCACCGTTGCCATTATTAGATTCAGTCCTTTAAAGTGGAACTTTGCAAATATTCTCCTCTTGCCTAGATACCCCACAACACCATTTTGTCGTGCAACGGCACAATAATATAACAGTAAACTTTTTAGATATTAAGAAAAACAATATTTCCTTAACATATGAAAGTCACATATATAACAAAACAATAAACGTAGATGAAAACAGGCTATACAAACGAGTGCATACGGTTTGCATTTGTAAGAAAAACGCTAAAGTTTAGCTGCTTATCCAGAAACTTGGCGCAAAATGTCGGCCATTAACGGAGCGCATGCGTTCATCCGGGAAATGGCTTTTTACACAGGCGCAGATCATAACGGAAGTCGGGAAGGTGAAGGTCATTCAAAACAGGATTTTGGCGGGAAAAGTATACATCTTTGAATTTTTTCTTATGGTATAAATTTTGAACAATAATGAGTTACTCAGTTTTATATAGTTTCAGTCTTTAATTTTGGTTTGATAGGGCTTGCAGCTACATGTACTTGGAAATAGACTTATCTAAAAACTTCAAACTAGTCACTCGTCCAGAAAATGCAAGTCACATCCAGCATCTAAATAAGTTAGAGTGTCCATCCCTTGAGGCATCATCCATGCAAGTTTGGTTCAGATAGGCCTTAATGTTTCTTTATGGTAATGGACATCCTCCAAAACTTTGACTGGGACACTCATATGGAAAATATAGGTCAAATCCCACATTCATAGCAACTCTGGTAGAGTGCATCAATATGTATCTTGAATCAGTGCAAAGTTGGTTAGCATAGGGCTTACAGTCATTCTAGAAAAAAAAAAACTGCTTCAAAAACTTTAACCTGGTCACTGATTTGGAAAATGTAGGTAAAATTCAGCATCTGAAGCAAGTCCAGTAGTGTGCATCCTTAGATGTGTCATCCATGCAAGTTAATGGTCCAGGTAGGGCAAATAGATACTTTAAAATAAACCTACTCCCAAAACTTTAACCTGGTCACTCATCCAGAAAATGTAGGTCAAATTCAGCATCTGAAGCAAGTCCATGCAGTAATGTGCATCCTTAGATGTACCATTCATGCAAGATTGGTCCAGTAGGGCAAAAATACTTTAAAATGAACTTACTCCAAAATCTTAAACCTTGTCACTTATCCTGAAAATGTAGGCTAGATCCAGCATCTGAAGCAAGGCTATAATGTGCACCCTAGATGTATCATCCATGCAAGTTTGGTCAATAGGGCTTTTAGTTACTAATGAGACCTGCTCCAAAAGCTGTAATCTGCTCCAAAAACTTTAACCTGATCATTCTGTAGCTGAAATTGCAGCATCTAAAACCTGGACTGGTACAATGAAACATACTAGAAGCATTTTCCATGCATATCTGATTAATATAGGGCAGAGAAGTACTTGAAAAGAAATCTGCTCCATATACCTTAAAGGTGCTTAGACACAGATCTGAACTTAATATTTTCTCCAATTTTCTGTATAATATCATGACTTATATATTGCTATAGCATTTCACACAAAAATATAATTAAAAACTTATTTTATCTGGAAATTATTGGAACTACGAACTCCAGGACGCGTTTGATTAACACATCTTTTCACTTACACAAATTTTAACTTTATCCTTAATATTTAAGAAAAGAAGCGATTTTGTTACGTATTAATGAAATATATTACATCTATAATCCAGAAAATTCAGAGTAAAAATGTTCCAAAGCAAAACCAACACACCAGTATTGTCAGTCCGTGCTCTGTAATGTGTATAGAGTTTAACAAATTGAACAAACCTGTGAAGCGTAAACTATTTTTGTAAACAGGGCATGAGCTCCGTTATTGTTAATGTTTACGATTCACCGGGTGTGTTCAATTGTTAAACTCTGCACACACCACTGAGCACGGACTTACAATACCGTGAGTGGGTTTAATGCTTTCGAACATTTCTACTCTGAATTTTCTGGGTTATAGTTTTAATATTATTCATTAATACACAACAAAATTGCCACTTTTGTTAAGTATTAAGAATAAAATTAAAATATGTGAAAGCCCAAGGATGTGTCAATCCAACACATCCAGAAATTTGAAGTTTTAATAACTTCGAGATGAAATAAGATATGTATTATATTTTAGTATGAAATGCTATAGCAACATACGTCACGAAATTATACAGAAAATTTGAGAAAATATTACTTTGAAATCTGTGTCCAAGCACCTTTAACCTGGGACACCAACACCGAGAGTATTACATAAGTCCCCCCCCCCGCCACCCCCCCCTCCCTTTGTTGAGGTGGGCTTAAAAACTAACAAAAACTTGATCCTGCAAAGGCATCAATCTCTAACTGGATCTACCTCAGAATATTAATGATTCTTCCTGCACTTTCTTGAAATTTTCATGTAATCAGTTCACATTCTTAATAAAATGTCTTGCAGATGAACACTTAAGACACATGAAAATGTATCCTCTTCAAACTTTGTTGCCAAAAGTAACAACTGCTCAAAATACCTATCTAAGGTTCACATGATATGCAATGGTTTTCATTCCGATTAAAAAAAAATGAATACAAATTTGTGAGTGGTTCCCTAGGAATTTGTCAGCAAATAACTCCTCACAGCTAATAGCTGTTTACTTATACACACTTTTCAAAATCTTTTCTTTGAACAACTTCATGCATAGGAAATTTTAAATACATGTAGGTGAGGCAGCTAATTGCCAATACCAACAACCATAGAGCGGGTACATTCCAACATTTTTCAGAATTTTTTTTTCTAATACAGTATTCAGTAGAATAGCATGAAAACATTTCAATGAAAATTTACATCCAAAAGAAAATTAACAGCAAAAAGACTCTTCTCGAAAAAACTAGAAATATGTCCATAGGACATGAATGCCCCGCTGAGGGTATATTAGTAATGCAACATGAAAATTTGTATTAGCGTACGAAATTTGATGAGAACATCTTGAATAGTTTCTAATTAAAATCTAAAAAGTTGGATACAGATGATAAATTCTCACTAAATTATGTATAAGTGCATAAACTTAAATAAATATATCTTAAATGGTTTCTTTAAAACAAAATACATGTACAAATTTAAGAAAAGTGAGGTCAAGGTCACAGGAAAGTTCAAGGTCAAACATTTTTGATGCAGCTGAATAGTTCACACAAATACCTATCAGCATATTAAGTTTGATAAAAATATTTTGAATGGTTTAAAACTGAGCTAAACACTAATTTGAAATAAATGAAGTTAAGGTCAAAGAAAAGGTCAAAGTAAAAAAAAAATATTGATACAGTTGAAAAGCTTACATCAGTATGTATTAGCATATGAAGTTTGATAAAAATATTATGAATGGTTTCTTTAAAACTGAGTTAAAAGTGAGGTCAAGGTCAAATGAAAGGTCAAGGTAAAAAATGTTGATGCAGTTGAATTGCTTACATCAGTATGCATCAGCATATGAAGTTTGACACTAATTTAAGAAAAGTGAAGTCAAAGGAAAGGTCAAAGTCAAAAAATGTTGATGCAGTTGAATAGCTCTCATCAATATCTATCAGCATATGAAGTTTGATAAAAATATCTTGAATTTTTTTTTAAAACTGAGCTAAACACTAATTTAAGAAAAGTGAGGTCAAGGTCAAAGGAAAGGTCAAGGTCAAAAAATGTTGATGCAGTTGAATAGCACTCATCGGTATGTATCAGCATATGAAGATTGATAAAATATCTTTAATGGCTTCTTTAAAACAGGGCCAAAAACTAATTTAAGAAAAGTGAGGTCAAGGTAAAAGGAAAGGTCAAGGTAAAAAAATGTTGATGCAGTTGAATAGCTCTCATCAATATCTATCAGCATATGAAGTTTGATGAAAATATCTTGGATAGTTTCTTGAAACTGAGCTAAACGCAAAGTGCGACGGAAGGACAGACGGAAGACAGACATGACAAACACTATATGCCCCAGCCATATTCATGGCGGGGCATAAAAATCCCCCCCCCCCCCATTCTATGGAACTGGATACTGCATTGTACTGAACGTCATGTTTACAATGAATAAACTCTTGAAAATACTGGTATCCATCAATGACATTTTTAATAACAAATAAATAAACATATTCATACACAATATAAATGTTAAAAATTTAACAAGTTTGTTAAAAATTTAACAATCTACATATTAAGAAATTCAATGTTTTTAGTATTTCTTTCCAGAGAAACACAACATGAGATTTTTTACACAACACTGACTTTGGTCATGTGACTGACTTCATTATCTGAGGTCCTTCACCGAGATTATGTGGCCTGTTTAATTTTTTAATATAAAACTCTAAATACGAGTTGCTATCAATCATCATCTGAATCGTCATCTTCATCATCAGGAATTGGAAATCTTAAAATTGCAGCTACTCCAGACAGGAGTCCCAACTCTGAAAACCAGAATGGCACAATAGTTTAAGTGTCATGCCTAAAAGTGAACCTTGAACACAATGTGTCTTTAGGTACAATTATAAAACAAGAGGCCCATGGGCCACATCGCTCACCTGAGTAACTTTGGCCATGCTGTTCATTACCAGACTCCCCCTTGTAATACCTATTGTGGCCCCACCCTCCCCCCAGGGGCCATGATTTGAACAATTTAGAATCTACACTACCCCAGGATGCTTCCACATAAGTTTAAGTTTTTCTGGTCCAGTGGTTCTTGAGAAGATTTTTAAAGATTTTTCCTATATATTTCAATGTAAAAACTTGGGATTCCCCCTATTGTGGCCCCGCCCTATCCCCTGGGTCATGATTTGAACAATTTAGAGTGTACACTACTTGAGGATGCTTCCACATAAGTTTCAGCTTTTCTGGCCCAGTGGTTCTTGAGAAGAAGATTTTTTAAGATTTTTCCTATATATTTCAATGAAAAACTTGGATTCCCTATTGTGGCCCCGCCCTACCCCCGGGGGTCATGATTTGAACAATTTAGAATCTACACTACCCCAGGATGCTTCCACATAAGTTTCAGCTTTTCTGGCCCAGTGGTTCTTGAGAAAAAGATTTTTAAAGATTTTTCCTATATATTTCAATGTAAAACTTGGATTCCCTATTGTGGCCCCGCCCTACCCCCGGGGGTCATGATTTGAACAATTTAGAATCTACACTACCCCAGGATGCTTCCACATAAGTTTCAGCTTTTCTGGCCCAGTGGTTCTTGAGAAGAAGATTTTTTAAGATTTTTCCTATATATTTCTATGTAAAACATTGATTCCACATTGTGGCCCCGCCCTACCCCCGGGGGTCATGATTTGAACAATTTAGCATCTACACTACCCCAGGATGCTTCCATATAAGTTTCAGCTTTACTGGCCCTGTGGTTCTTGAGAAGAAGATTTTTTAATGACCCCACCCTATTTTTGTCTTCTCTTGATTATCTCCCCTTGTGAGGGGACTTGGCCCTTCATTTTAACAATTTAAATTTCCCTTCACCCAAGGATGCTTTGTACCAAGTTTGGTCAAAATTGGCTCAGTGGTTCTTGAGAAGAAGTCAAAAATGTGAAAAGTTTACAGACGGACGGACAGACAGACAGACAGACGGACGGACGGACGACGGACAAAATGTGATCAGAAAAGCTCACTTGAGCCTTCGGCTCAGGTGAGCTAAAAAACATGAACATGACAGTACTATACATGTTGTTTGCATGGACTATTAATTTTAGAACACAGTATAAAGGGAAATTGTAGTATAATAGGTGATAAATTATCTGTTATTTCCCCATTACATGCTCTCTGATGGATGCATCTTCCCCTGATATATGCCTACATTAAAGCTGTTCACGCTTCGTAAAAAGAATGTGTCCGCCATATTCAATTGGACTCGAGCTGTATCTGAGGGCCCCTATATATAGAGCCGCTCACTTGGTCACTTTTCAGTGTAATCAATCGTCACCAGGGTAGACGGACGTATGCTATACAGCACTTGGTAGCGACAAAAATAACTGTGTGCTTCTAATGCAGGAGAGTAAGATACCAAAGACACTTACAACAGTTGCACAGGTCAGTGCAATATACAAACAAACACAAATATACGTAACTGCAATAAAATGTAAGCAAAGGGAATGCAAGATAACCAGACGAACATGGGTCGCCATTCCACGCCGATACCCGTGACAATAAAGCAGTCAGGTGTAACGAATGCGAAGAGTATACCCTGGTGCTGATATCTAAGATAGTAATATTGAAAATGGCGTATGCCTATTTACAAGTCGTGTTCAGCTTTAATGTCGATTTAATTTAAACAATTGCTGTTGTACATACTTGTACAGGTTATGCTGCCTTGATGGATTTACTTACGTTCCCCTGATATATGCATGCTAGAGAATATTTTCACATCTCCACCACAGTCTCTCACAGTGTCCACAATTTTGACATATCTCTTCCGCTGTGCAAGATTCTGGGATCTACAATAAAAAGACTGTTAGAATGAAAAAAAATCTTATTAGTTAAATAAACCCTAACTCATGAATAACCTCCCATCCTATATCTATGCCCCCCCCCCCAAAAAAAAAACTAGATTAAATCATCTTTAATCTGTCTTTATATGAAAATGAATTTTAAAAAAAATATTTGATGTGCACAATGTAATCAATCATAACTTCAGTGAAAATTACCAACACAACAAAAAATCTTACCGAAACAATTCATCTGAGATGAGTAAAACCTCAACAGCCTGTAGCTCTACTGCCTTCTCCACATGTTTGACACTGTAATGTTTAGTAAAAAGACTCCAATGGTTATGTAACAGCACACAAGCATGCTATCCAGTCTGAAGTTATAATGCTAACTGGTTAAATGATAATTCTACCTACCCATAGAAGGCCCTGTTAGGGTCATTTTGTAACATCTGATAAAAATCATCTAAAGCTTTCACTTCCCCTGTAGCTTTGGTGTTGGATAATTTGGAAGTCACAGCTGGGTCTTGCAAAATTTCTGAAATATTAATTGTTATACATGTATTTACATCCAAATAGAATTTATATGATCTACCAGGATGAGGGCTTGATTATCAAAAAGTTTTTGGACTGGCACCATAAAACAAACTGCTTAATGTTCATCAAAACCTTAATCCACCCCTAGCCCCCGAAGGGTGTGGGTTGGCATGATTTGAACACACTTGAATCTACATTACCTGAGAATGCTTCTGTATTTATTTAATATGACTAATCACGGCTTTGTTGTTTTTGAGAAGAATATTTTCAAAGATATTTCCCATATATTCCTATGCATAACTTTGATCCCCTCTTCTGGCATCACTCTACCCCGGGCGTCATGATTTGAACAAACTTGAATCTACACTACCTGAAGATATTTCTGTATTTATATGACTAATCGTTGCTTTACTGCTCTTAAGAAGATTTTTAAAGATATTTACTATATATTCTTATGTATAAAATTGGTCCCTTGTTGTGGCCCCACCTAACCCATCAGGGTCAAGATAAGAACTTCGAGGTGTGTGTGTGTGTGTGTGTGGGAGGGGGGGGGGGGCAAGATGTGAACAACATTGAATCAACAATACCTTAATGTGCTTTTTTATTAATATAACTAATCATGGTTTTTCTATTCTTCAGACATTTTTAAAGAATTCTTAAATATTCCTATGTATAGTTTTGTTCCCCTGTTATGGCCCCACCCTACCCCTGGGGGGTTCTCTTAGAGATCTGAGTATGGTGACAATGCAGCATGAACTGTGTGACAGATGGTCTGAAAATCATAAACAATATCTCTGATATCTCAGGCATCTTCATGTTTTTCTAACTTTTTCTGAATTTGAAATAAAATATACAAGGTATAAAGTGTTCTGATCAAACAAAATTACTACTGTCTTGGGTGACCAGATAATGTGTTTTGTGTTTACTGATAAACTGACAAATTATCAACAGAATAAAGCTAAAATTTGTAAAACTTCTTAAACTTTTGTCATTTTATGTTCCTTATAAATTTTGTAAGCACAGCCTTTATAGTTCAAATTTTACAGCACCAACCAATCAACAAACATTTTTGGTAACTACTCGTACATCATGTTAGACCCCTGACACTTTGGTAAGTAGCTATGAAATAGCTTCCCTTTCAGAAGTGCTTGAACCAGACCTTACCCATAGCCTGAATTCAGTGTTACCTTCGAAAGAATATTAAATCACAATTTACCTCTGGAGAAAATTTGAACCAGACATTACCTGTAAGAGCTTGTTTATGTTACCTTTTAGAGAATGCTTGAATCCAGATGATGCGTGGACTGTTAAGAACTTGGATTTATTTTCAATGAGGACCTTGTATTCCATTTTGACAGCTTGGTCCATCATGTATGTCATAAACTGGTCCTACAATAAAGCAACTGTTATACATAAAAGTTATTAAAATTTCAGTGTCTGGATATGACTTCAATCAGAACAAGAGATGTTTGTGAAACACTTATGCCCCCCCCCCCCCCCCCCAATAATTAGAATTTTTCCAAGTCCAAGGGGCATAACTCTGTCAAAAATTGCTTGATCGAACCCAAAACACAAGTTGACCAAGAGATTTTTAAGATAAATCTGTATACCAAATCTCATTCCAGTATGTGCAACCTCTGCAAAGAAAATGAACAGAAACTGCAACTAATTGGAATTTTTGTAAGTCCAAGAGGCAAAAGTCTGTCAAAAATTGCTCGATCGTACCCAAAACAGAACTTGACCTAGATATTCTTATGATAAATCTGTATACCAAATTTCATTTCAGTATGTGTAACCTTTGTGAAGAAAATGAATGGAAACTGTTGGTGGACCGACAGACAGACAGACCAACCGACAGACAGCAGCAAAGCAATATGCCCTCCCTTCTTCGAAGGAGTGCATAAAAATTAGCAAAAGAAAATACAAGTCAATGTCTGCATCTTATGTTGGTTTTTATTGAACTGACTCTTAAACATCTCCATTACTAAACTCTGGAAAGACAAACTTGGACATTCCTCTTAACTCAAACAAAACAGCTGTCAGAGGTACTGCATTATTGTACTTTTTTTTTACTTTTGTATTGATATACTAAGTAATGTAGACATGCTTTTTTCGCCTGGGATTTATTTTTGCTATGTACATGATCACAAATTATTCCACAGAAATTTGTCACAGCTTATTTAAAGTACATTTAAGAAATGCAATAAAACAGTCCAAGAAATCTGCATATTTTTTCTACACATGGATTGAACAGAAATTGTGATTCCATGGAATTATGAACCTGTAGTATGTTTACAGTGTCCGGTAAGTGGTTTAATAACCTTTTCTTATTCTTCTTTCTATTTATCACCGCAGTGCCTTACCTTCACAAAACCAGGACTGGCCACCAAAATACATTTCACAACTACAATTAAAACAACCTGATTAATTAATAAAGCTCAGTAACAATGGAAATACATGTACTGTAAAACTACAATTAAAACAAGCTGATTAATCAATAAAGCTCAGTAACAATTGTACTGTATAATCACTTATTTTCATGAGGTCAAATTTGCGTGGATTCAGAAAAAAAAAATTAATTTTTGGTTGGTAGACAAAAATGATGCTTAGTTTGAATGTTTTAAATTTCATGGATGACAAGAATTTATGGGTTTCTCTATACATCAAAAACAATGAAAATTAACCCCCTCAGAAATTAGTGATTTTACAGTAGATATACCATAAAGACAGTGGATTCAATTTAAACATTGGATAGCTTTTTCCTTTTTTTTCTATTACTTACAACTGGAAGCATGATTAAATATAAATATTTACATCCACTGAATATCACCTCCTTAATTTTTTTATGAAAACCACGGTTGTTTATCAATACTTGAATGCTGCTAAGTAAGCCAACTGTATAGATTTCTTGAGCAGAGGCTCTTCCATCAACGACACATATAATGACGTACATATCAATAAAACAATATTTCACACTTAATTTTACTTTAAATAATTATATTTATACAGAAATAAATATAAACAATAAAATGCCATTCTATCTTTGTTAGTATGGGAAACAGGATTTGATGTTGCAGTTATTGCAGAAAAAAATTTATATAAACCACTTACGTGAGTTATGTACTTATTCTGCAACATTAATTCCCATACTTACAACCAAAGAAGATTTTATTGTTTAAATTACGTAACAAGAAACAACTGTGAAGGTATAAATACAATACAGTTTCTGTGAAAGGTACAAAGTCTGATTTATATTTTATTTTCACAAAGTATAATTATAGAAATTCAAAAAAAAGATACAATACAAAAATGTAATGAATACAAATTAAAAATATGTGTATAAAAACAAGTGCAGATTTTACTGAGTTTCATTTTGTGGACAGTCTGATTTGTCCAAGGTCTATCCCAATTTAAAATGAGACAGCCTGATGTTTATTTCATTATCCTTGTTAGTTTCACACACTGCATTTGAATACATGTTACTTGTACTCCAGTCATTGTAGAAAAAGTCAATATTGGCTGAAAAGAGTCCTTAAAGTCTAACCTGATGTTTTTTAAAAAAAAAAAAAATTGAGAACTATAAATTAATCTTAAAAATTACTTACCATCAAAATTAATATGGCGTAATATTGCTTGCACAATCTGGTCATAAAACTTTGTTAAACCCTGATAGGGGAAAAAAAAACAAGAATATAGTTCAAAACTTTTTATAAATTTGAGAGGTAAGCTGCATGCACGTCTTTGAGGAAAAAAAATACAATGTAGATTCTTTGATGATGTGTTTAGAAGCTAAAATAATTCTGAAATAAAGTGTGCAATAATATTTTTATTTTTAGACAACAAAAACTTGTGTAGTCTTTGCTAACATTAAGCTGCAATGGTTTTTTTATAACTTCTACTAATGATACCTTATCATGCTGTGTACAGCTTCCCTTCCTTTTACGTGGAATGTTGGTTTCTATTTTTGCTCGAACTATTGTCATATTTGGTGTGATGAGACAAACATTGGCAAGACCTTCCTGCATGATAACAGCGGCCAAGTCTGCATGCTGTGTTGGATCACATGCCAACTCTGTGAATCAAAGGACAAGACACATTATAACATTGTCTCAGAAAGCTCCACCAACAGACCCTGTAGTCAGAATGTAACAAATTTTATCAATCATTAGGGATGTTTTTTTGCATTATCAATCTTAAATTCTAAGATGATATCAAAGGTTGTATTCAAATTTAAAGCAAATGTACTTCAATGTCAATGAGAATAATAAATATACATAAAATGGGAAGAGATCTATAGGAGGTTCATTATTTAGAGCCATCTCCCAGGTTGTTTAAGTTACTGTATTTGTCAAATTTCATACCAATTCTCTCCAAAGCTATGCTATCCCATTCTTGTTTTCCCAATGTAAATTTCCGGTTCACTTCTAAATCTAGGGTATGATAAGCACCCATCTGCAATAAATTTTACGTCAAATTAAATACCATACTTGTAACTTAAGAATTAATCCTTGCAAAAATCTCAATCATATAAACTGGTATACATTTTCAGAATCTTCAGAATCCCAGGTATGGTTACTCTCTAACCTTGACATACTGGTTTTCCTGAATATTTCGACCTTTCAGTCGAAGAACACATGCATGGGTGTCGAAGTCGATGGCCTCTATCTTAATGGTCAGAGTGGTCCTTACTTTGTTGACACTGACACTTCCTGTGGCCGACTCCGTCTGGACTTTCCTGATAAATACAAATAAACTTACAAAACTGATAAATAATGCTGGGATATAAAGTCTTTTTCATAACTGATACAATTTTATCAATAAACTACTGTATCATGCAGGGATCGAAATCAACTGTTTTAACCACAGGCTAATTTTACCCTGTACATATAAAATCCACAGGCTAAAATGAAGATCTACAAGCTAAAATTAAAAGAATGATTAAATGCCCTTTTCATGCTCTTTATTTTAATCAATAACAATACAGGGCCTTCTGTAGTGGGTCAGTACAGAGTTATGATCTGGTCGTGGATCATTAATGTTTTTACGTTTAAAAAAAATCGTAATCAACTTGTTTCTGTGACCTTAAAAGCATTTGTTTGATTCTGATTTTCAAAATGAATATAATAGAAAAAGACACATAAAAATGGCTGCTTCAATCAGCATTTGCGTGACTCTGTTAAAGTTTCAAAAAAGCAAAAGACAAATTACCAGAACAATACAGATACGAGACAATCGAGGTCGAAAATCAACACTAGCTAAAAACTTCTGAGTGTCTACTATTTTTACTTGCTGTTTTAAAAATTAACTCACATTTTGCGAGTATTTCCCACTAATTTCCATCCCTGTCATGTAAATAAACTAGAACTATGTCCATAGGACATGAATGCCCAGCCGAGGGTTTATTAGTAATGCAACTCGAAAAATTGTATAAGTGTATGAAGTTTGATGAGAATATCTTGAATAGTTTTTTTAAAATTGAAATCTAAAAAGTTGGATACAAATGATAAATTCTCACCAAATTATGTGTAAGTGCATAAGCTTATATAGAAATATCTTATATGGTTTCTTTAAAACTAAGCAAAACGCAAATTTCAGAAAAGTTAGGTCAAGGTCAAAGGAAAGTTCAAGGTCAAACATTTTTGATGCAGTTGAATAGCTCTCACTAATACATATCAGCATATTAAGTTTGATAAAAAAATAATGGTTTCTTTGGTTTAAAACAATGGTTTATTTGAAACTGAGCTAAAAACTGAAATAAGAAAAATGTAGTCAAGGTCAAAAGAAAGGTCAAAGTCAAAAATGTTTAAGGTATGTCACTCGTGAAATTTGTTATATCAAGGATTTTTTGAGAAGTATATTTTGGATAAGTACTCATATAGTATGACTCAAAATCGCAGAGAAAAAGGGGGGTCAGTGTGCATCTATCTGAGCTACGGTAAAATTAAGTTGACCTTTTTGCACTTAAATTGTAACTCTTTGGTTAATCACTTTAACCATTATCATATTTTATAAGATGTAACCATGGCAATAAACATAATCTTATTTTACGTAAAATAGTTTGAATAATATTTATCACAAATCACGCAAATTAATGCGCGTAAATTATTGTGTGACCTTTTTGCACTAAAAAAAGTCTCATATTTGGGGTATTGAAAATCTAAATAGGCAATAGAATATTTTCTTGTATCAAACTTTTTACGACTTAAGTGCTGATCGGTCAAAAGTATCGAGTAGATTAAAATAATGAAAGAAAAAGCTGGGGTCAGTGATGTAAATTTTGAAATATTGGTCAAAATATGCGATTTTCAGGCAAAAAACTGTGTAAATTTTATCTCGACTTCCTTAATATATCTTCATTTCTTGGCAATGTTTGTTGAGCGAAGGTGTAAATTTTGTTATAAAAATATAAATTGAGACCTATATTTAATATTCCAGGCATATCATAACGGAAAATATTCTCTGAGTAAAAGTATGTGAGGCTAAAGTTCCAAGATATTAAATTTAATAAATGTGTAGATTTGCAGAATTTTCTGCTAAATATCCTTCCGCCACAAGAAATAGTCCCTTATAAATCTTGCTTCTTTGTGAATTTTTGAGCAGTTTTTTAATGGAATGTTGAATATTTTACATTGTTTAATTTAAATATGTTATAAAGATTGAATTGTAATAAATAGTTTTTAAGTAAGAGGTTCTGACTGAAATTTTCTAAAAGGCTGACGAGTGACATACCTTAAGCAGTTGAAAAGCTTACATCTTTATGTGTTAGCATATGAAGTTTGGTAAAAATATCATGAATGGTTTCTTTAAAACTGAGCTAAACACAAATTGAGAAAAGTGAGGTCAAGGTTAAAGGAAAGGTCAAGGCCAAAAATGTTGATGCAGTTGAACAGCTTACATCAGTATGTATCAGCATATGAAGTTTGACACTAATTTAAGAAAAGTGATGCCGAGGTAAAAAAGTTGAATATCCCTAATCAGTTAGTATCAGCATACGAATTTTTATTACACTATCTTGAATGTTTTCTTTAAAACTGAGCTAAATGCTAATTTAAGAAAACTGAGGTCAAGGTCAAAGGAAAGGTCAAGGTAAAAAATGCTGATGCAGTTGAATAGCTCTCATTAATATGTATCAGCATTTGAAGTTTGATAAAAATATCCTGAATAGTACTGTTTCTTTGAGACTTAGCTTTGAACTAAGCTAAACAGTCTGGTCGAACCCTCAAACAGGGGTATACCCTCAAACGAGGGTTTTCTGTCCCGTCATGCAAGGCACAAGAACGGTAACTCTTGCCGTATCCAATATAAACAAACTTGCCTATATCATCTATCTTGGAAAAAAAGATCGATAATATTGTTATTTCTTCTATGAATTTGGAAAAATATCAATAGAAAAAAAATCAACAGGTTAAGTTTTCCATATTTTGATTTTATACTGTAGGAAAAACGAAAATTTCCCGTCATTTCATGAAATAATTTATTATTTTGTGTGACGTCTCAATTACGATTTTTTTTTAATTATGGAATTTGAAACACAAGAAAAAATATTCTAAGAATGAGAAAAATATGAATTTAGAATCTAGATTTTAAAAAATAAATATAATCATGTTTTCCCCCAAACAATCGTAGTTATTTAAAAAACAAATTACCAAACATTTTATTTAAATTCTTATAAGACATAAAAGACAACAAATACGATAAATTGCACTTGAATTTTATTTTTAACTGTATTTTTGTTATACTTCTTGGGCATGATTATCGACAGTAAAGACCGTCGATTGCTAGTCAGAGGAAACGCGGACTGAAACTCACGATCATAAATAAATCGATTATTAACACCACATTTTCGTGCATTTTATAATAAAAGATATAAGGTAAAATAATATATTTCTTTTATAATTTCAATTTAATATTAGTGGTTTATGTCTGTTTATCGAATATTTTATCTTAATTACCTGGATGTCACAGAGCAAAAGATAGTCAACTTTGCCAGTGAATAAATCCCGATTTGTACAATAAAGTTGTATTTTTTTAAAATACAAACTCTTTAAAAACCTTCAATCTATCATATCCGAGTGGTTTTACATTTGCCAAATGACCCGTTACTTTGCACCGGCGATTTTTGTAAACCTCTACTTTTTGCGTGAAATACGCACATTTTTAAGCATCTGCGCATGCTCGTACCCCCGTTTGGGGGTATGAATTTCCTATTTCCGTTTACCCCCGTTCGGGGGTTCGACCAGACTGCTAAACGCAGAGCAGGACAGAAGGACTAGCCTTTACCACAGTTAAAATACCTCCCATGTACTTGCAATGCAGCAAATCGGAGCTGATCTGCTCCAAAATGTTTTTGAAGAATACAAAAGGAATTGCACTGAAAATAACTACCAAATTAATCATAACAAACATTTCTGAGATTTTATATGCCTTTTAACCTAAAAAATAATCCATGTAAATACGAAAATTCAACTCATTTCCTCAACATTTTTCCTCGCTTCAAATTTACATGCCATGTTGACATTCGGAACTCTCTGGATTGATCATAGAAAATGCCCAGAGTTTGAGTTATTGCCCATGTTTATTTTGCTGCATTGCCAATACATGGAAAGAATTCTATTGTTAAACTGGGTCCGTAGGACAATATCATTTTAACAATAGAATGTTCTATCTAGTGCAACATGATAAACAACAATTCTGGCCTTATTTAAAGATGTGCCTTAATAATTATTTTTTACTTTCAAAGACATGTAAGGTTGGTAGAAGTAGCTACTTCAAGTAGCTTTAATTACCAAGGTAGCTTTTAATAGCAACGTAGGTAGAAGTAGTCTTTGGACTGGACCTAGAATCTGAATTTATTGGGATTAGGGAGGAGGAGAATTATGCATGAATATCCTACGGTTCCTTCCTCCTATAATATTTGATTTTATAAGTACAAACTCCTCAATATGCTAGCATTGACAGATGAGTACAACTTTCGTTTTTCACGGTTCTGACCTGATTGTTGTGGATCTGAGAGTGTCGCCCACCATTATCAGGTTGTATGCATGCCACAGGTCTTCCGCTTCCTCTGGAACCAGAGTCACACACCTTTAAAGGAGAAAAGTGATATCTAAAAGCTTAAAAACATAATTAGAGGAAATTCGAAATGAAAATGTAACGTCAGATAGTGAAGGGATCTCGTTAAAATTGTTACCCTGCGTTATTTTTATCGATATCTCTTGATACCAACTTCATGTTGGCACAGTAAAAATATCACACGGCTACTCGTTTATTCATTTTATCAACTGTAAACTGTACAACAGACTCTTTCAGACATGATCACGTTCCCTCTTTCCGCTTATGGTGCAACGTACACTGCCTGCTGTCTTTGTGAAAATAAAATTGATTGGACTACGTAACTGTAATAACCAATCAAAATACTTGTTACATTAAATGAGAAATCGCCCTCATAGGGGAGTAATGAAGGCGTGGATCTAACTTTATGGTACGAAACTTTGATCTTACAATGGACCATCCTCGCAAGCCAGGGGTCCTGAGTCAACACGTTGCCGTTGGACCAACGGCAACGTGTTGACTCAGGACCCCTGGCTTGCGAGGATGACAATGGACATAATTATTAAATAAACCTTCATTTCCCTTTTCATATGAAGGGAAAGGGAGAGGGGCTAGTTTTACAAAAGAACTTATGACTAAAACAAAAAACTTAAGTTGACTGTAATGTCTTTCAAAATTTTTAACTATTCTTATAAAAAACTTGCTAGCATTAATTATCTTTCCACAGGCACTTATTTCTGGAATAAATTTTCAACATATAGTGTAAATATAACATGGGCCACATTGCTCACCTGGGCACATAGGCTAGGGAAAAGCGAAAAGCAGAAATTAGTTCAGTATTGAAAAGTTGACGGATGGGGGGGGGGGGCTTGAATTTTACATTACCTCAGGATGCTTCCATATCAACATTACCAGGGACATATATACTAACTTAGTATATAGGTCCCTGATAGGACTGCGCAATAATATCGATATTCCGATATATCGCGATTCGTTAACAAAAAATTATCGTACTGCGATACGTTTTTCCAGTATGTGGTCGGTAAATCGGTAAAAATGCTTGGGCTTGGGACTTCTAAAGTAAAATATGAAATTTAAGATGCCAGAAACGCTTTCGATCATGCCAAACAATAAGGTTGCTGTTGTATGGTTGTATTTCGTTGCAAAACTGAAGTGAAATCGACAATAACTTTTTTGTTACATGTGAACGTATTTATAATACATACATAGTTTTATTCACTCTGATTATATAAATGGAGGTTAATAAAATTCAACTGTTATTAAAAATATTGCAATACATATCGCAATACTGTTTAAAATATCGCAATATATCGCAATACGAAATTCCCAGACGATACCCAGCCCTAGTCCCTGATGTTACTTATCATGGCTTCGCTGTTCTCGAGCTGAAAGATTTTGTTCCTATGTATTCCTATGTAAAACTGATCGCTCATTGTGGCCCCACCCTACCCACCTTAAATTTGAAGAAATTTAAATCTACACCACCTGAGGATACTTCTATAATAATATGACTAAACTTCAAAAATTTTCTGCTCAAGATCAGCAAACCCATGATTAGTCATATCGATACAAGATGATTCCTATATATTCTTATGCAAAACTTTGACCCTCTGCTGTGCCCCCCCCCCCAAAAAAAAAACTAGGAGGTCGGTCATATTTTGAACAAACTTGATTCTACAATACCCGAGGATACTTCTGTATTAATATGACTAATAATGGCTTTGCTGTTCTTGAGAAGAAGATTTTTAAAGATAATTCCTAGCTATATATTCCTTTGTAAAACTTTGACCCATTGTTGTGGTCGCGCCCTACCCCCGGGTGTCATGATTTGAACAAACTTGAACCTACACTACCTGAGGATACTTCTGTATTAATATGACTAATAATGGCTTAGCTGTTCTTGAGAAGAAAATTTTAAAAGATATTTTCTATATATTCCTATGTAAAACTTTGGCCCCTTGTTTGTCTACGCCCAACCACAGGGGTCATGATTGGAACAAACTTGAATCTACATTACCCGAGGATACTTCTACAATAACAAACTTGAATCTATATTACCCGAGGATACTTCTATAATAATATGACTAATCATGGATTTGCTGTTCTCGAGAAGAATATATCTAAAGATATTTCCTATATATTCCTATGTAAAATTTCGACCCCCTCTTGTGGCCCCGCCCTTCACCATGGGTTATGATATGAAAAAACTTGAATCTAGAGTATGTAATGAAGCTTTCACATAAATTTCATCTTATGTTGCCCAGTAGATTTTGAGAAGAAGAATTTTAAACTATGCCACCAATTTTTCACGAATTCTTAATTATCTCCCCTGGAAAGAGGGCGTGGCACTTCCTGTGAACAAACAAATCCCCTTCACCCAAGGATGCTTGGTGGCAAATTTGGTTGACAGGCCCGTATCAACGGTTTCAAAAGTGGGGGGGGGGGGGCAACATCTAAAGGAAAATCATCTAAGAAAAAAGTTGGGGACCCCCCCCCCCTGCGTTCTTCGGCCTGGTTGAAATTGACCCAGTGGTTCTGGAGAAGAAGTCGAAATGTGAAAAGTTTACAGATATCAGACGACACACGACAGACGGACGTCGGACACTCTTTGATCAGAAAAGCTCACTTGAGCCTTCGGCTCAGGTGAGCTTATAACACCTTGTGTTATTATCATACTATGGGTTAAAATTTATTTACAGAAATAAGTGTCTGTGGTTCTTTCAAAAAAAAAATTAAAAACAAGATGTGTTTGTGAAACACTGATGCCCCCGTATGGGAACTTATAGCAAAGATTAAACTTTCTCAAATGCAAATCAAATATGTTGGTACCCAAAGTAAGGTCTTGTCTAGAAGAATATACCTGTGAAATATGAAAGCCCTAGCAGCAACCATTGAATAGATATGGAAAAGGTTAAAGTTTTTCAAAAGTAAGTCAAACATCAACGTCAAGGTCAAATGGTCAAAATTAATGGTGTCTAAGGAAAGGCCTTCTCACAAGAAATATACTGGTGAAATATGAAAGCTGAAGCACCAATCGTTCAAAAGTTAAGACCAGGGGTTTAAGTTTTTCAAAAGAAGGTCAAACTCCAAGGTCAAGGTCAATGGATTACAATTGTTGGTATCCAAAGGAAGGTCTTGTCACAAGGATTACATCTGTGAAGTATGAAAGCCCTAGCACCAATGGTTCAAAAGTTATGACCAAAGTTAAAGTTTTCCAAAAGTAGGTCAAACTCCAAGGTCAAGGTCAAAGTTGTTGGTATCCAAAGGAAGGTCTTGTCACAAGGATTACATATGTGAAGTATGAGAGCCCTAGCACCAACGGTTCAATAGTTATGGCCAAGGTTAAAGTTTTCCAAAAGTAGGTCAAACTCCAAGGTCATGGTCAAAGGGTCAAAAAGTTGTTGCTATCCAGAGGAAGGTCTTTTCACAGGGATTACAAATGTGAAGTATGAAAGCCCTAGCACCAACGGTTCAATAGTTATGGCCAAGGTTAAAGTTTTTCAAAAGTAGGTCAAACTCCAAGGTCAAGGTCAAAGTTGTTGGTATCCAAAGGAAGGTCTTGTCACAAGGATTACATATGTGAAGTATAAAAGCCCTAGCTCCAAGCGTTCAAAACTTATGAGCCAATGTTAAAGTTTTTTCAAAAGTAGGTCAAACTCCAAGGTCAAAGGGTCAAAGTTGTTGGTATCCAAAGGAAGATCTTGTCACAAGGATTACACATGTGAAATATGAAAGCCATAGCTCCAACCAATCAAAAGTTATGGGCAATATTAAAGTTTTTGCGGACAAACAGACAGACAGGCGGACGGACGGACAGGGCAAAAACTATATACCCCCGAATCTTCGATACGGGGGCATAAAAACCCCAACCTCAAATTAATGTAAAGTAGAAGCCTTCAAGGTTACTTGAAAAATTACATTTTAGTCTTGGTCGTCAATTCTTTTGTAAAACAGGGCCCTGAATGTTTTTTTCTTCCAATAATATTATTATTATTACATGGCCGTAGGAACCGGGGGGGGGGGGGCACATAATTTTGCCGATGTATAGATTACTATAGTAAACATAGGTACTATAAGCATGTGTCCCCTCAATAAAACCGCCTGATGACCCTTTTTTTTTTTTTTCTTGTCAAGGAATATTTGGTAGTTGACGACTTTTTTTTTTTTTTTTTTGCTTGTCAGAAAATTTTTGGTAGTGCCCCCTCAACTGTCAACTGAAAAATGTTTGGCTGTGCCCCCCCCCCCCCCCCAAACTGAAATTGCTTCCTACGGGCCTGTATTAACCAGCTTTTATAGCACTATCCTAAAAGTAATTGACCGACTAACCACTGCTAACTTTGTTACTTACCGACTTTGTCTCTAAAATGGTATATATTGTTACAAAAAGGGGGATTCAAGTTATACGAGATATTAATTATACGAGGTCCCGAGTAACAAGGCGTTTGAAAGGGAGGTTTTGATTGTACGCGAAAAAAAGCTTCAAAATGATAATTTTTGAAACAAAATAAAGTGTCATTCATCTGTTTAAAGAAATGTTGTTAGATGGCTTCAGTTAACATTATCGGGCTTGGAAGTGTTGACAAGGGAAAAACAAAAACAAACAAGATGTGTTTGTGAAACACTGATGCCCCCGTATGGCAACTTATAGCGAAGATTAAACTTTCTCAAATGCAAATCAAATATGTTGGTACTTGGTACCCAAAGTAAGGTCTTATATCGAGGAATATACTTGTAAAATATAAAAGCCCTAGCAGCAACCATTGGAAAGATAAGGAAAATGTTAAAATTTTTCAAAAGTAAGTCAAACATCAAGGTCAAGGTCAAAATTTATGGTGCCCAAGGAAAGGCCTTCTCACAAGAAATACACATGTGAAATGTGAAAGAAGTAGCACCAACCATTTAAACGTTATGGCCAAGGTTAAAGTTTTTCAAAAGTAGGTCAAACTCCAAGGTCAAGGACAATGGGCTATAATTGTTGGTATCCAAAGGAAGGTCTTGTCACAAGGATAACATATGTGAAGTATGAAAGCCTTAGCACCAACCCTTCAAAAGATATGGCCAATGTTAAAGTTTTTCAAAAGTAGGTCAAACGTTCAAAGTTGTTGGTATCCAGAGGAAGGTCTTGTCACAAGGATTACACAAGTGAAATATGAGAGCCCTAGCGTCAACCGTTCAAAAGTTATAGCCAATGTTAAAGTTTTTCAAAAGTAGGTCAAACTCCAAGGTCAAGGTCAAAGGTTCAAAGATGTTG